AACAAACGAATGAGATCCGAAGCTAGATAGATTATCCTCTTGGACATTCACTTGAAGAGTGCCCACCCATGACATGAATGAGCTTACATTATATAATTAGTTTCACTATTAAAAAAATAATTTCAAAATTCTCGTAACTTAGCTTAGCAATCAAGACATTTTGTTTTGTTCTTCTTTTAGAGAGCGTAAGTTCTTTTTTAAGATAAGTTATTGCGAAGATATAGCAATTTTCATCGACATTTTCATTATATTACAAATAAAAAATTTATCAACAAAATATCATTAATGTAAACATAATATTAATAAGCAATTTTTAACTTATTTAAAGTACTGAGATTGGTGAAATGCCTAAATGTTAATTTAAATATTTTTGGATATTTCGACATACATGACATTTTTATCTACATCGACCTTGAAAATTTTGTAAATAAATAATTTAAAAGTGATGAAATGCTTATATATTCATCTAAATTATTTTATGTTTTTTCAAAATCCATCTACCTCAACTTTTAAAATTTTACATATAAATCATATAAGGACGAAAAAGAAAGAAAACTTTGCTCTATCATAGTAGTAAGTAAAAAAATTTTATTTGCATTCCAACATGATTTATCTTTCCATAGATAAAAGAATTTAAATACGTATGTATCTATATATAGTAGAAAATTTAAAATTTTACAAAAATGGCATAATTAAAATGTGTAATATATTAAAGTAACAATAGCATGTTTGAAAAGAAGAAAAAAAAAAGTCGCAACACGTTTTGAAATACGTAATAAATTTTGCCATGTGACAAATTTTCGAAGAAAAAATTGAGTTTTTCTCGTCATAAAAATACTTAAAAAAAAAAATTTCTCCACTGGAAGTTTCCTTCCGACACGGCATTGTTACCAGAGTTTTCCCAACAAAAAGCCAGATAAATTAAACTAATAATTAGTTTTCAAAAGTTCAATATATTAATTTCTAAATTTGCTTATGGTGTATTTTAAAAATCTAATTGAGATAAATTGTTAAAACGGAAAATAAAAGTTATTATTATTATTTTTTTTTTTTTGAGAAAGGAAAAATAAAAGTTACTGAGAAACAGAATTGACGCAGATCACAGAAATGCTGTTGGTACCTGTAGGGACTGAGAACTCCAGGTGGAACTTTAACTTTACGCGTGAGCGGCCTCCATGGCTTGTCCATGAAATCTGACATACTCATCCCCTCCGTACCGTATCCCTGTTCTTGATCTTCATCCTGCCAGTACGCGTTTCCGATGCCGTACTTTCCTTTCGATTCGAACAACCACCGATTGTGATCGAAATCCGAAGTCTGGCTCCGCAACAGCATCGATTTATTGTTCGACGATTGCATCACCGACATTCTCCGATCCATCTTCGCCGCATCTCCATCTCCGCCGCCTCCGCCGTTGGCCTCTGTATCTCCTGCTCGCCGGATCAATCCTCGAGCCTCCGATCCGAATCGAGTCGTCGCGTTACCGTCCGATTTAGAATCGGAGGAGGTTCCTCCGCCGGGCTGGTTATCAGGCGTCGGAGGCATCATAACGGTGTAGTTTATGTAATCGGATTGGGCGTTGTAGTCGCCGGACATGTCCAAATCGTCGTCGCGAGACAAACTTACGACTCTGCCAGTCGAGGTTCGGCGAGAAAATTTCACCGCCTGAGGCGGTCGGCCGGAGGAAGAGGAAGAGTTCGTAAGCGTCTTCTTCGAGGTCGAAGAAGTCGCCATCAATGTACCGCTTCGTTCCTCTTTTTAACTCCGTACGATTTCTCTTCAGAAACGCATTCTCGCGTTCAATGGCAACGCAACAAGAAATTTTCCATTTCCGATTGTTTCTAAAAAAGTAATTACAGGCAGCACGAATATCGGTGATCGGAAATTGACGTCAAATATTCTGGTTGAACTGTGGAAGAAAGCGGACGAGTTTGATAATTAATTGAATGGTAATGAAACATTTTTCCCTATTTTTAGCTTCCCCTTTGCCTCTCCCTTATTTCAAGCCTCGCCTCATTAATTTCACAATTTTATCATCCTACAAATATTCTATTGCTTTTAGAATATATATTTTTTTTAGATGTAATTCACTTYTTTTTTTATATTTAAATTTACACTAATCTTACTTTCGTTTCAATTTCATCCTTTCTTTTCCAAAATTTTGTAACCGTACTGATAATTTGATCAATACATGAATGTTTTTTTTAGATAAATACATCAATGCTTAAATGACCAATTTAACCATTATTGATATTCGAATTTGATTCGGATTTAGTATATAGATCAGTTTTATCCAAAATTAAAGGAGAGTGGATTTACAATAGACAATATCATACATTTACTAAATATTAAGGCTAGATCTAATCATCATATTGAATATATATATTGATTCGATATCAACATGAACAGTAAGTCGACCTTTCCATCATAATACAAAAAATCGACCAAATATGAAACATAAAAACAAAATGTCGCTAATATATACCTAATATTAATATTAATCTTTTTTTTAACTAATTTAGAAATAGAAAAATATTTAGTTGTTAAATTCAATACTTTTTATATATATGTCCACGGATCAAGCGTTATTAGCATTCACTTTTATTTCAAACATTATCCAAAGTTAACTTCTGCTTCAACCATATGGATACAACTTATTCATCATCTTCAGCAAAGCTCATTACTATTTTGAGCATCGATGGCGGCGGAATTCGAGGTCTCATTCCGGCCACCATTCTCAACTTCCTCGAATCAGAACTTCAGGTGAAATTGTTGTGTTGTTTATAAATAATTATCTCCCTTTTCTTTTTGACTTGTCTCATTCCTTTTTCTCCCTTGCAATTACTTTATTTTTTGATGTAGAAATTTGATGGCAAGGAGACAAGAATTGCAGATTACTTTGATGTGATCGCTGGAACGAGTGATGGTGGATTGGTGACAGCAATTGTTGACAGCACCGGATGAAAACAATAGACCATTGTTTTCGGCCAAGGATATTAAAGATTTTTATCTCAATCATTGCCACAAAATCTTCCCTCAAAAAGGGTACGTCCTCAAATTACTTCAAATTTCTTAATGTGTTTCAATTTTGTGATAGTATTGCTGTTAATTTCATGGTAGATGGCTACCACTTAAGACCCTGTTGGGTCCAAAATATGATGGTCAATATCTCCATAAGATCGTGGAGGAAAAACTTGGAAAAACAAAGTTGCACCAAATGCTTACTAATGTGTTATTCCAACCTTTGACATTAAACTTCTTCAGCCGGCCATCTTCTCCACTTACAAGGTTAGTTTTGTGACTGTCTTTTTTATTCTAAGCTTTCATATAATTTTAATTTTTTTTAAAGTAAAAGTTTTATGTGAAAACCAATTCTTAATTCTTTTTATTTTATTTAATTTTTTAAGTCAAGGATATAAAATAATATTTTTATTTATGTTTAAGAAAAAACAGAAACAATAACAAGAAATTTGGTTCTTTTTTTTTTTTTACAATTTTGAAAATATTTCTTAAAAATGATAAAGGAGAAAGATAAATTGTTACAAAATACTTATATTTCTATAAAATTGAAAACAATAAATAAAAATCAAAACACATAAACGTTGTCAAATTTCCCATAATTGCTAGTTGTAGAATTTTCCTCCGTTTATTATCTACATAAGGCGTGTTGTGTATTCGTGAAGGTATAGAAAAATACACGTTCATAATTTCATTTGGTTTTATTATTCTTTTTTTAGCTCAAGAAAAATACATCATTGGATGCTCTTGTGTCCGACATATGTATTTCAACTTCAGCTGCACCTACTTATCTTCCCGCCCATCACTTCAAAACTGAAGTTGCCGCTGACAGAACGAGAGAGTTTAATCTTGTCGATGGTGGTATTGCTGCAAATAATCCGGTAATTATTAAGACCAAACCACTTTTATCAATTTTTTTTAGATATTATTGTTGATGAGTTATTTATAATATATAGTTTGATTTAATTAATTACAGACATGGTTGGCGATAAGCGAAGTGATGAAAGATGTGCTGGAACGAAGAATCTCTCATTTTTCTTCCTTTAGATTCCTTGTGATATCTTTGGGGACTGGCTCGCCCAAAGACGAAGTTAAATACACGGCCAAGGAAGCGGCCAAGTGGGGTTTGTTGCAATGGTTAACCCCAATTGTCGTGCGTTTTCTTTTGCAAGTCTAGACATGGTGGATCTCTATCTTTACGTTCTTCTTCAAGCACTCCACTCTGAGAATAATTATCTTCGCATTCAAGATGATACCTTGAACGACGTCGTTTGGTCGGTCGACATGGCTACGAAAGAGAATCTGAATCATCTCGTAGAAGTTGGTGAAAGACTGTTGAAGAAAGCAGTTTCGAGAGTGAATTTAGAAACAGGTGTACGTGAGGATTATGGTGCTTCAGAAACCAACCTAGAAGCTCTCGTCAAGTTTGCCAAATTGCTTTCTCAAGAGAATAAGACTCGTGATCACGATCGTGGCCATGGTACTTAATTAATTAGGATAATTAATCTTCATCTTACTTATGTAAATAAATTAATTAACTGCTGCTCCATTTGTTAGATGATATAATAGTTTAATTTCATAGCTAAGTACTTTAATTAGTTGCTAACATGACAATTTTTAGATTTACTGTCAAGTGGATTTTTTAACCCAAGCTTATAAAGTATTTTATTTTCTCAATTTATTTTCAAGTAACCTATATATCTTTTGAATCAGCACAATTTTAAATAGAATTTATGACATTTTACATCTGCCATAAAACTCCTCACCATCTCCATGATCCGCAATAACATTTTACATCTTCTCTCATTTTATCCTTAATCATGTAAAAGCTTCGATTATGTAGTTTTTAGGATCATTAGGTATTTGAAAAAACGATGATATATGAATTTAAAATTTGTAACTTTTATGAAAATGTCAATTGTTAGCAGTACTTTAAAATAATGAGCAATTTCAAATTAAATAAGTTACCTACAACGTGGAAGTGAGATGAAATGAATAAGATTTTTATTTTATAGATGAGTTTCATCAAATTAAAAAATAGAGTATTTTTAACCAAAATTTTTTGTAAAAGTTGCGGCATGAGTTCGAATAGTTAGGCATCTGAGTTTTCGAAGTTCTCCGCATCTCATTCACAATATAATATCATAGTTAAAAAACTTAAAAATCTAACCATGGTTTAAAAAAAATTAAAAATTAAAAATACATTAAAAAAAAGCTTAAAAATCTAGCCACTTGGCGTAGTAGACACAAGTCCGAGGCGAAACGACGCCGTTTAATCCGTGGACAGACTCCACAAGGAACAGAAGCTATTGCTCCCATTTTGGGTCTCCTTTGGCACAGCATTTGTAACAAATCTTCCCTACAGGAACAAAATCAAATTCTCCAGATCCACTGCTCCTCACCTCCATCACTTCATGGTCCAGCACCAATGAATTCACAATCTCTTCAATTTGCTCCACTTTCGAAGCTCCACTCCTCTTGAAATACTCCACAATTCCTTCCATCGTAATCACCTTCCTCTTCGAAATCATTCTCCACACACTCCTTTAAGAGTTTCGATGTATTCTCGATCCAGCTTCCCGTCGCGGTACCATTCGCCGCCGGTTAATGCCTTTGCCGCTTCGAAATCTTTCGACAGGTACAATTTCTTCCCTCTGTTCTGATGGTGTTGGACTAATTTTATTAGGCCTTTCGCTTGGAGTGACTTGAGCGATTTGGTTACCACGCTTTCGGTCAAATTTGTCTCTCTTTTCATGTCGAATGTACAAATCCCCGCGCTCTGCTTGCTGCAAATTAGGTCGTGGAGCACTTTTTCTTGCGAGGTAAGGCTCCTGATCTACTGATCGAGTCTTGTCTTTTTCCTTTGTGTGATGAAGTTGAAGGCACTTGTGATTTGCTCATTCCTGTGGGATTAAATGATGTATTTGCGAGATTATGTGATTGCTGCAGAAGATAACGTTTTAATGAAATTGATGTTGAGATGTGAAGTTTGTAAAGAAATTGAAAATGTTGCTGAGATCATAAACATAGAGTGTCCAAGGATGAAAATCGGTTCGATTTTCTCGATTCTTGCACCGATTCGATTTTGAAGGAATGAAATCAGAATCGATGATCTCCACCGGATTGAGCATTACTAGGCTGTACTGGAAAGTAGAAACTTCTTGAAAGATTATTACCTTGTCGGAGGGAGGCGACGGCGGCGCAACAAAGGCGGAGGCGCGTGAGGGAGGAGGAGGCTTGATCTAGGTTTTATTTTTTGCTTTTGCTAACTGCCGTAGACGAAAGAAAGTGGAATGGCCTCCTAATAAGGTGGACTTGTCAAATACTCTTAAAATTGAGAAAACTTTTTCACTTAATTTTTTTAATTTAGATAATAACTTTTTAACTTAATTTAATTTAAGCTAACTTGAATTAAGTTTAGAGATAATTGACCATCTCTAACCAAAAGGTTATGAGTTCAATCTTTGATTTAAAAATAATAATAATCACGATTCCTCAAAAAATTGTCTGATCCACACTCAATATTTTCTCACCTAATATACGTTTCTGCCAATTTATATGGCTCTAATACATATACATGACAACATATTGATTCACATATTATTAGTCGATTTAAATAAATTAATAGCAAGCTAATAATAAGACAAAAAATAGTTATTATTTTAAATTTTAGAAACTGAAATACATTATGAAATTATAAAAGTAAAAAATAAAACCAAATCCAATATTTTAAAAGATATATTATATATAAATTATAAATATCACAGCTGGGGTGGTGGCGCAGTTGGCTAGAGCGTAGGTCTCATAGCTAAGAGTTATCCTGAGGTCGAGAGTTCGAGCCTCTCTCACCCCAAAACATTTTTTTCCCTTTTTCTTTCTCATTTTTAGCGCTTTGTATATTAATTAAACTTCCGCTAAAATGTTTATTTATTTTTACTTCTTTTACATTTTGTTTGTTTTCTTCTTTTACATTTTGTTTGTTTTTGAGTTCATATTTATTTTTCTTATACATTAATTTTTTTAAATTATGTGTTTTCTTTCTCATTTTTAGCCCTTGGTATATTAATTAACCTTCTGCAAAAATGTTTTTATTTATTTTTACTTCTTTTTCATGTTGTCTGTTTTTGAGTTTATATTTATTTTTCTTATATATTTAATTTTTTTAACTTATGTGTTTGGTAATTTATTGCAAATTTTATAATGTTACAAGACATATCTAAGTACTTGTGAGCGTGTGCATTGAGCAGACGTAAAGAAAGATATCATAGAAAGAATTTGGAATTTGTAAGTTTACTAGATATCATAGAAAGAATTACTTTAGTGTCATTTTTATGAATCTCTTTTATTTTGTAATTATCATTAATATGATATTTTTTGTGGTTCATTCTCGATCTCGATGATCCCATTGTACATCATTATATAGTTCATGAGATGAATTTTTTGCATAAGAATTTTCGTTATAAATTACACAAAAAATATAAGAAATTAACATTCTCCCATATAAACATGAAATAAGCGAGATAAAGAATTGGCACGAGATTGAAATCGCTTTGGTGGAAATCAAAGAAGTCTAAGGTATATATTACACATATTTATATGATACTTATAAATATTTTTACTTGTCCTACGATATACACTTTAAAAAAGTATCTGAAACAAACCCTAGATCTAGAGCAGCTCTCCTATACAAATCATAGAGCATGAAGTATCACATTTTTATGCCATAAGGTATGTCTCTCTTTTTCCTTTTTTTTTTTTTATCTAAATAAACATTTACAGGATGTCATAACTTTGATTAATAATATGTATAGAAGACCAAGAGGGTCGAGAGTTAGATCATATTGAAATATTGGAACTTGCCCACAAAAATGGTGCACAGAATGGGTGGTGGATGAGGAGACAGAGAAAACATGCAAGTAAAAACTGTTATTTCATTTTTCTTTTCACAAAGTGTTAATACTGTTACATAATATGTTATAAGATGAAATGATTGCACTAAAAAATACTACATTAAAAGGTGGTGAACTTCTACCAGAGAAAGAAATATGTGAACCGAGTACTAGGTAAACAACCTGAGCGTGTAAAGGGCCTTGGTTAGCGACCAAAACCATCATCTACTCGAAATGAACCAAGTACTCAAAGATTTAGAGACGAGTCAGATTGCGAAGTTATAAGCCATTGTAGAATGGCAACAAAGCATGATACGATCCCAACAAAGCATAATTGATTCGAATGTAGCTGAGATGAGACTTCTACCTTAAAAAAAAGAGATAGATATAAGAGAAATGTGTTGGACATGGTCTCTTTGGTTGGTATATTTTCTTTTTTTTTTTAATTACAACAAGTGGGATGGGAAAATTTGAACTCATGACCTCTTGGTAAGAGATGGGTGTCAATTACTGCAGAGCTAAACTCATGTTGGCCGATATATTTCTTATTCTTATATTTCTTATTCTTGTATGACAAATTGAAGAAACTAGTTATACATTGGAACAGTACTTATAAAAGCACTGACTAAACCAAGTTGAAGAGAGAGTCAAAACATATGTTTCTCCTTTCCATCTACAAATGGGGATGCAATTCAGAATTCTAAAAACTGTCATTTCAAACACATTGTAGTTTATATTCAAATGAAGGGGGGAAAACGCACCAGTCAACATGTAGAACAGAATATACAGCTACGGCTTCACATTTTCCCTTATAAATTGCTCCACCTCGGTTACTTGACCCATCAATCCAGAGGCTTCACCAACTGCAACTTTGTTATGGCACTGCGAGAACGAAAATGCTTTACCAGGTACCCCTAGTGTGAAGTCATTTGCAATATCAGCTGCCGAAATTGCGCTTCTCGACACTCGTAGCTTGTCACTGCACAATAATAGAAAACGTAAGGTCGAAATAACAATGTATGGCAGATAATGACACCAAATACCAAATACTAAAGAAAGAAGCCATACATTTCCTTCTCCATCTGCCTATTGATAAACTCCTTTGTGTGGGCTGTAACCTTGTCTGTTTTATTGCATAGTATCAAGACAGGGATTTTCTTCTTCACAACACTCGCATTAGTCAGGATATCATAGAGGTACCTTCAGTAGAAATTTAAGTAAATTAAACTAACGACACAAGACGTTTATTTCTGCACTTCTTTTTGTGTACTTGAACATGAATTGCATCAGATATAAACATAAAGATGGGGTGATTAATCAATTACTCTGAAGCTGCACGACAGTTGGGTAAAAAATCCAGAGCATCCACCACAAAGACTACACCAGCTGCTTGAGGCAAAAACTCATCTAGTTTGGCTCGAAGGCGAGAATGGCCAGGGACATCCACAAGATGAACAGGCTTCAGTTTGTCCTTCTACCAAGAAAATGACGAAATAAAATACCTGTTAGTTTAAGTTTGAATCTTTGATCAAATAATGAAAGAAAAAAGTTGAGAATGTTGGAAACGAAAACCGCACAGCATTGTTAGTATAGTACTGATTTCTAAAGCCGTAATGGATCAGAGAAAGAAGCATTCTCACTTCCTGAGCAGCAGTACTAGAAAACATGAGCTACCTTTGATATTTCAGAATGAAGCACAAACGTGCCTTCATTAGGTTCCATTGATGTAACAGTACCCTGATGAGAAGAACCATCACGAAGCTGCAAAGGCATAAAAACATCATAAATCACAGCAGTAATACGAATATATCAAATATCTTAGGCCAACCAATTCAGTTATCAAACTCTAGAAAAACTAAAATACCAGGTTCAAGTGTTTTATCCAGCAGTCGTATAAAAAAGGGAAGAAACCAGCAATGCAGATGCTTACTTGATAGAAGAGAACAGTTTTCCCACTTCCACTTAGCCCACCAAGAACAATGGTATTCGATTTTCTGCGCTTGAACAAGCGAGCTGGCGAGGAAGGAGGAGAGTCAAATTCAAATTTCAAAATGTTTCACCTTGCAGAAAGCGATATTCAACTACAGGACTGAAGAACGAAAAAAAACTGATCAGATAAAGAGGAGACTCACTCAATAAGAGAAGTAGTGTAGTTAATAGCAACACGCCAACCCCGACGTAGAGCTGAATTGGGGGTATTTGGTGAACAAACTCCAAGCCTAGTTGTAGCCATTGCTCCATCTGGACCTTCACTTGTTCCGCCTGAACCTTCCACTGTTCTGTTCCTTCCATTTCTCCAACTTGTATGGCCGATAGGCTTCAAAAGTTCAAGCTTCAAGCCCAAAATTTTCAGTCAAAATTCCGTCGCCCCCCAAGTCTGTCCAGAATCCTACATCCAGAAAACCCAATGGCAACATTAGACGGAACCAGAAAACATAGATCACGAGACTAGGAATCGTACACTTATAATCATAGAATGCATCTAAAACTAAGAGTAACTTTGAACTCTACCCCAAAAGTAATATATTAGATAAGAATCACCTCCTCGACAACAACAGCAAATTTCAGAGAATCTTTACATTCAATAGAAGTTGGTGGGAGTTTTGATATTTTTCTTAATAAGATCAAGAAATGGAAATACAAGCAACTAAAATCTTGCAATCCCAATCATTCTATGATGATGTCTAATTATAAGATTTAGGTGAAACTGTTTGGCTATCTTGCTTTTCGATACTCACATGCTGTTATAAAAAGTTTGTCCATCACCTGCTCCTACGAACTACACTCGCCACCCATGGCACTCGATTTCTACTCAGTATACATATATATACACCTTAACTTAAGATGGTAAAATTCAGCAACAATAATGCCTGTAATAATGAACGTTTGGTAAAGAACAGAACAGCAAACATCGTCTAGAAAAGAAATGCCTCACAATTGCAGAATGACAACAAGGCTTGAAAAGCCATTCAGTCCCGAAAGATGGTATTTTGTTTAGCAATATCATCATCGGCATTGGCATAAAGATAAAATCATATAAAAGTTTGAACAAAAATGTGCGTCTCATGGCCAGTCCCAAGAAGTCAGAGCAGCAACGCTGCTCCACAAGGTGATGGAATATGGGTGTAAGATGCACGAACACGGACACAGCAACATGCCAATTTTTAAGATAATGCATTGAAGAGGAAAATTTTCATGAATAATTGGGATCCTTAAGTTTTTAATCTACAAATATGGAGAGATGGGCATCATGAATAAGAAGCATAAAAGAACAGAATACATAGATCTAAAGGTCTTTGAGGTTTCTTCTAACAGACAAATTCAAAGAGTCGGGCTGAGAATATGGAACCTTTCTTTATGGCAGCCAAGAACAATCTCCACCTCCATCACTCAATTTTTGAAACCTAGTCACATATTGCCATAGGGATTTTGAATCATATTCAATATTAGAAGAGGCGGAGTCTAAAGAAGGATTTGAATTTGATGATCGGGTTGAATATGCCATCCTAAATTAGTTGAAAATGCTTGTAATTTAGTTTAATTCATACGAAGTTGAGAAAAGAAAAATAAGGTAAAATAGAATTAGAAATACTAACAACAAAATTGGGGAAAGCGAACAGCCGAACACGAACAGAGTTACAGAGGTCTCTGCAACGACGGTGGCAGCGGCGAAGGCGGACCGAAGTGGCTGTGGCGGTGGCGGCGAACGCAGCTGGCGCAGCGTGGGTTTCGTTCTTCCCTTCTCGTTATCGGGCGTTTCTTTCTGAGAGAGGCAGAAAACAGTAACTGTACTGTAGAGTTTTTTATTTTTTTTTTTTTTTTTAGGTATGGACTTCTCAAATGTGTTGATGTCCGGTGGAATTTTGTTTTAAGCAAAATTTTAAAAATTGGTGTGTAAAAATTATAGAAACTAAAATTAAGTTAATAAATAAATATTTTTCTATTTATAAATAAGAACAAAATTATTAATATTAATATTTTGTACTTAATTGACATTTTGTTGACATTGTTCATATTTGGTTGATACTTTTTGAATAGGATGGAAATGTTAATTTACCCCTCATGTCGATATCRAACTCAGTGATACATAAAAATGTTGATAGAAATGTTGACATGTCATCAGATATTTAATACCATAATTTTTGTGGTAATTTTTTAGTTGTGTCTACATAAAAATGTTGATAGAAATGTTGACATGTCATCAGATATTTAATACCATAATTTTTGTGGTAATTTTTAGTTGTGTCTGAAAATTAAAAAGATAATGAGAACACTTAAAATGACGTGTGGGACACGTGCCTAAATGTGTGTGTCGACACAATGCTATGTCTACAATGAAGTGTCTCTGCTTCGTGTCAAAGACAAAAATAAAAATTGTATCTTCGCAATAAAAGACCCTGAACTTTTTCAAAAATGCAATTTGATAATCGCATTCACATGATAGAGGGAGTTTTTCAAGGTTGGTTGAAATTTAGTGCTGCACTATCTACTTAACACAATAACAAAATTTCAAATTCTACCAGCATGAGAGACAGAGCAAGAAGAATACGAGCGAGGCAACTGAGGAGATACAAGAACAAATCCTAAATAGTTTATATATATTTGGTTCAATGAGGTCTCGAATACGAACAAAGCATTTGGTTCGATTCGATTTAAACTGACCGAAACGCTCCCAAGCTACGGCTGAAACTATATTTTCAATTTTGCCATTTGGATTGGATTATCAGATTGGTGGTGTCCTCAAAATTTTTTAACATCTCTATCAATATTTATTAAATACAATGTTAGAAAATGGAGAGATTAAACTCTAACTTAATTTAATTAATTTAAACTGTAAAATATAATTTTATGAACAAAGGTCATGGTTAATCATTAAAAGAAACCTGCAGTGATTTAAATATAAATTTGTTTTTTTTTACATATTTATAAGTAAATGTAAGTATAACCCACATATCAAAAGAAAAATAACATCCAACTCCAACGATGAAACTATTAATGCTAGTCGTCCTTGTCAAAAATGAATATTTAAAAGTTTATACAGATTTTACTTTATCTATGTCATTCGTTTTTTTATCCCAAAAAAAAAAATCCTATTCCATTTTGTAAAATAATATGAATCTTTAATATAATTTTCATCATGAAATTTCAAAGGGGTGGTGGCGCAGTTGGCTAGCGCGTAGGTCTCATAGCTTAGAGTTATCCTGAGGTCGAGAGTTCGAACCTCTCTCACCCCATTTTTTCCTCTCCTATTTTTTTCGTTTCCATGCCGTGGTGTGTAGTTTACCCAATGGGCTGTGTTGCGGGCCCGTATATTTTGGGCCATTTAGCTCTAGGCCCATGATGCTTTTTTTTTTTTTTGACAGCAATAAAACATTAAAAAAGAAAGGAAACTGAAATTCCCAACTCTGGCAGTGGTTAGAAAATTTAACTATCGCCAGTCAGACTGCCATTTCAGCAACATGCCAACATCTGCTATGGATCATATTCACTTGTTTTGGTTAAAGTTGATATATATATATAATTTTTTAATTAAAAAAAGAATGAAATATTGTATAGAATGTAGTGGAGGAAAAATGTACGTTGTATTATTCTAAAAAAAAGTCCACCAATATATACCAATGGAGTGGTAAAATAAAAAAACTGACCATTCTCGACCAACTCTTGATTACCAAATCTAAACATAACGTAATTATCTCGTATAATTTAAGTCTTTTAATAGTGATAGAGGCCTTTAAATTGAATTCAATAAAGTTATAATTGATGAAGGTTAATAATTCATAAATATTTTAAACTATTTTTGTACCCAATTTATCTTTCCCAACTAATTAAGGTATATGTTATTGTTCATTTTTGGCATGAGGTAGAGAGTTCAAGCCCCTATCGCCCCAACTTTTCTTTTTCCTTGCGTTCAACGTCATTAGTTTAGTCCAATTGGTACATTTATGGCTCATATCTTGATGGCCTATATACCGCACCATAAACTTTTAAAGTTGCAAACTCGTTAGAAATTAAAGAGAAAACAATTTTATGAACTTATGAAAGTTGCAAAATCATTGGACTATCAACTTAACCGATGGTGGTGCACAGTTGGCTAGCGTATAGGTCTCATAACATAAAAAATTATCTTGAGGTTGAGGTTGAAAGTTCGATCACCTCCCACCCTGAATTCAGGGACAAAATATATACATAAAAAAAAATGCTAGTCATTAGGTCAAGAAAAAAAAAACCTCTAAAGGATGAATATCTAGGGGAGATATTTAAATTCTTTCTGTCGTAATTTAGAATCCTGCGTTTCCATGATTCTAACACTCGTAGATATAAAAAAACCACACTCGATTTGCACACCACTCATCTCGTCTATGCATTTCCGAGGAGATTCCTTTGGTATGAAAAATACAAACCAAAGTTTTACAAACATTTTTCTCACGAACATTTACCCACTCAAACCTCAAACTTAGCATGCATCTCAATGAAAAATTATTGAACCTACTAAGATACAACGTTTGAAAGCATAAAATTCAATCTGATCTCTTTCATGTATCTCAATTATAAATCTTTCTTGCATTAATAATCAATATTTAGGCCTAATCTCAATTCCTTCGACAATTAATCCACCTTTGATGTTATAGGTGTCAACCTCCTTCAGATTGAAAACAATGGAGCCGTCATCTCCTAATTCGTTAAAGAATTCGCCCATCTCAATCTCCATCCACCCATCGGCTCTCTCATGAAATTCTGTAGGAGTTCCTTCAGGAGGGTCCAACAGCACCATTTTCCCCTCCTCGACCTCGGCCCCTTCAAAATAAACTCGTAATAGAACTGGTCTCCTTCGAAATCCATATCGAAGGTCACTGTTTTCTACAAACTTGAACACAAGATAAGCTGCGTACTTGGTTTTGGGACTTAACTCTCTACCCTCTATCTTCCCTTTGATCTCAAGCCACCACACAAAGTTCAGTTCAGCCACTTGGGAAAACCTGTGGTTTTAGAGAAATTGAAGAAATAAAAAAATTTGTTCAAAATTATAATTGGCAATGACAGGACTCATCCATGTGTATTATAAGATCCCTCCTCTTTTTAACGTGGGTTCCTTAACATATCTACTGTAGTTCTTTTGATAATTTCAAAAATTAAATTAATTAAATTACAAGTTCTGTTATTCTTAAATTTTGAACATAGATCTAAACTTTCACATTTGTATTTAAAATTCATAAATTTATCACACACAATTAAATTTTTGTACTTATAAGATATTAAAATTTATTCAATTTTATATTTAATAAATTTCTAATTTTAAAAAATGTTTAATATACAGGGACTCAAGACATTCTTAAAGTTGAGATTTTAACTGTAGTCTAATACCAAAAATAAATCACAAGCATGTAAAAGAAAAATAAGACATCAAGATTTACTTGAAAAATCATTAGAATGTGAGCTATACTTTACAATGAGCCAAACAACATCTAATACAATTAGCGTTCGGGTCATGAAGTTTATGCTCGTTTCTATTAGTTAAAAAAATCATAAGACAAAGACTTAGCATACTCTTAATTAAAGTATTTATCTCCGATCAAGAGTTTGAATCTCCATCCTATTGTACTATATATATATATGAGATAACGGAAGTAATAGATAAATAAATAATTAATTAATTAATGGAAATACGATTGAAGTTACAAAGTGGTGGAAAGGAGAAAAAATAATAATAACTGAGCACCTTGATTCAGGGAGGGATTTCCAAGTCCAATATTCTGTCGAATTCCCCCAAATAATGTCCAAATCTCTTGCTCCTATCATATAACATCTCCTCCCGCTCTCTTTCTCCAACACAAAGCTCTGATTCGCAGCAAAAAGTTTTTTCTACTCAGTTTCCGAAATTGAAATTTAGAGGATATAATAATTGATATAGTTTTGAAATTACCGAATTTCCAGTGGCGATGAGAAGAGGATTGTCGCAGAGATGGAAGTAGAGAGCCTTCTTGGATAAGGAATTCAGAGACGAGGACTGAGAAATGATGGCCGAGTAATCCGCCGGCAGAAAAGTGTTCCAGAGAGCGTCGGAATCGGCGGCGGATCTGAACGCCGGCGAGACGGCGGCGAATCTGCAGACGTCCTTCGGCGACGTGAAGGCGAAAATGGAATAGAGGCACTCCACCGGGAGCAGGGCGATTTCCATTGTGTCCGATTTTTTGGTTAATTTGATTTTGCTCTCTCCTCCAGATCCCAAACACAGCCGGCCGACGTTTTTTGACCGCAAATCGTTCCACTCTAGCGACCTCTCCATTTGACTTTAATAAATGCCTATTAAATACTTAGCGATCATTTTCAATTTATATATAATTATTTTCATGGCCCCACCTCGTTAAATATACAGGAAATAAAGGGATCGTGTGAGAATAGTGCCTTCCTTTTTTTTTTTTTAAGGAAAAATTGCTGTGGGTAACAAAAATTATTTCAAAATATATCACTTCTTTTCTAAATTTTTAAATATAACAAAAATTTTCACTTACATTAATATTATATTATATACTATAACAGTAATATATCAAATACTCATATCATTTTTTTAAATGTTATATTTGAAAAAACTAAATATGTTTGCTATTTTACTAATTTTACTAAATATTTTTATTATATCTGCAATTAGTACAACATGTGGGGAGGAAGATTGAACTCACAACATCTTGGTTTGAGAGTAGTTTTGATATAAATATTGACAAAGGTCAATTTTAATAGGAAGATATGTCATCATTCGGTCAACGACTTGACTTTGCGCATGTCTCTAATAAAACAAGTTCGGAAATAATGAATGGCGAACCTCTAAACTTGAACTCTGCATCAAGGTTATCGAACTACTGGTAACCATCCAACTGTATTTCCGCCTCATAACATGTCTTATGTCTAAAATCAAGTTGGGGTTGTCTACGATCGTCTTCCCCTTTCAAATAAATACTCAATAGAAAGAAGAATAAAGTATACAAACATTTCAAATTGAGATTTTACTCTCTCGAATCCTATACTTACAAGGGCTTCAGAGCGCTAACAGGGTCGTCCATCATCTTCGAGTGTTATTGGAGATTTAATGCTTTGATTGATTTTTATTTATTTTTTGTTAAAACATATATATTAAAGAGAATGGTAGTTTTGAAAGTACTTACAGAAAGAATAATATTTAGCATAATATTCAAGTCTTTTGCTGAAGATCATTTAATTGACTTTGAAAATAACTATTCCGTTTTCTGAATAAAAAACTGGTAATGTATTCTTCACTAAGAAATCAGCGAGGGGTGGTGGCGCAGTTGGCTAGCGCGTAGGTCTCATAGCTTAGAGTTATCCTGAGGTCGAGAGTTCGAGCCTCTCTCACCCCAAATTATTTTTCCTTCCTTTTTTTTCGTTGTCATGTTCGCCACCAATAATTTACTTAAATGGGCCCTGTTGCGGCCCACATGTTAATGGGCCATGTAGTTGGTTTTGGGACTTTGACTTTCTAGCCTCCATCTTTCCTTTGATGTCAAGCCGGTCCGGGTCAGCCACTTCAGAAAATCTGTGGTTACTGTTATAGTCTGAAAACTTGAAGAATACTTAATTTTAAGAAAAAATTAAATTACAGATTTATTGATTTGTTATAATATTACCCCTACTGGCATAAATAACTTTGGTAGGCATTAGTCAACTAAGAGGTCATGAGTTCAAATTCCCTCCCCAGCATTGTGCTATGATCCATCAGATTGTTTTGATTCGATTTTCGGTGCGTTGTTTTTCAACGAATGAAAGACAAATGTATTTATAAATCACAAAGACAATCGTTACATAATAAAAATCGACTCTTCATCTTAATAGGATTTTTCATGTTATGGATTAAAGGTTATAAATTTTATACAAAGACTAAAATTATTATCAATTGGAAAGTATATGAACTAAATCGTTATAAACTAAATCCAAGACTAAATGGTTATAAACTAAATCCCAAATGTGTTTTTAACTTTTTTTTTAATTCAAAAAATTTGCAGTAGTTAAGTAGAGAATCAAACCTCTGGTTGAAAACAATTGTCAAGAACTGCCCCGCCAATCACGATGATAAACCACTCATCCCCTCTGTATGTTTTATGGGAGCTTCCTTTGGACTGAAAAAGACAAACCAAAGTTTTTAAAAACATTTTTCTCATAATCATTTACCCACTCAAACCTCAAACTTAGAAAACTTAGTATACATCTCAACGAAAAACTATTCAACCTACTAAGATACAAATGTTAGAAAGCAAAAAATTCAATATCTCTTTCCTGTATATCAATTATAAATCTTTCATGCATTAATAATTAAGGTTTAGGCCTAATCTCAATTCCTGCCACAATTAATCCACCTTTGACGCTATAGTTATCGACCTCATTAAGACTGAAAATAATGGAGCCATCATCTCCGAATTCGTTAAGATTTCCCCCATCTTAATCTCCATCCACCCATCGGCTCTCTCATGAAAATCTGTAGGAGCTCCTTCGGGAGGGTCCAGCACCACCATGTTCCCCTCCTCGACCTCGGCCCCTTCGAAATAAACACGTAACAGAACTGGCCTCCGGCGAAGTCCATGCCAATGGCGACCGTTTTCTGCGAGCTTGAACACAAGATGAGCTGCATAGTTGGTTTTGGGACTTAACTTTCTAGACTCTATCTTCCCTTTGATATCAAGCCACCACACATGGTCCAGCTTGGCCACTTCTGAAAACCTGTACGGTTAGAGTTTGAAAACTTAGAAGAAGATTAAAATCTGGTTCAAATTTATAATTACTTTAATTTTAAGAAAAATTTAATTACAAATGGTATGATACGTCTCTGAATGTAATAATTAACAACAATTTAAAAAAAAATAAGTTTTTTTCTTGTCAAAAGTGAACAATAGTTCAACGATAATTGACATATATCTTCAACCATACTTGTGAGTTTTATCTATAATCCCACATGTTGTACTAAAAAAACCCTTAAACTTTTAAATTTATGCCCAATGAAGATCTAAAAAGTATCTATGAACTTTCACTCACGTGTATAATAAGTTTTTAAAATTATGAATTTGTTACACATAAAATAGAATTTTGTATTTATTAGATCCTTGAAATTTCAATTTTATGTCCAATTTTTGTTAAAAGAATAATGTTTGATAATTAAGAGATAAATACGATATGTCAACAAAAAAAGAGAGAAATACAAAAGCAAAAATTGAAAATTTGGTGCTCACGGGCCATTTTAAATTTTTGACATAACTGAAGAGCTTTTTTTTCCTTCTTTTTTTTTTTTAAATCCGTGTGTCTGAGCCAGCTTGCGCGCACCTCGACTAATAACGGACCAATCTCCCACCATGTTTTAAACTCATTTCCTCTAAGTCATTTGCTATTTACATTGATCTTCGTTGACCACTTGAGCCATCCCATGATGGTTTATTTAAGGATCTTTATTCACACAAAATTGAAAATTTGGAAGCTATAAACACTTTTTAAATTTTAAGATCTATTTGTCGAGATTTTAATGCGTAGGTCTAATGTCAAAAAATGAATCACAAACACACAACGAAAAAACAAGACATCAAAATTTAAATAAGTGGAGCGTGTGGATTATATATGTTTGATGTTAGCAATACTTGAGGAACCACAACGGCCTATGCCTTACATTTCACCTCTTTTTCCATGTAAATGCTTAGTGACAAGCTCTCAATTCTCATTGCCTACTCTAAACATATTTGTCCAAAAAATTTTAACTATAATACAATTGGGATCATTAGCATAGTTAAAGCTAAATCGTTTAAGGTCCGAACTGCCAAATAAAATTAAAGTTTCATGTTCGGCTTTGAATTAGAGGAGTTGAAAATGAAGAATCAACATTTGATCTTTGGTTTATCATTGTTTAAAAATAATACCATGGGGTGGTGGCGCAGTTGGCTAGCGCGTAGGTCTCATAGCTTTAAGAGATATCCTGAGGTCGAGAGTTCGAGCCTCTCTCACCCCATCCTTTTTTTCTTTTCTTTTTGTTTTTACGAGTTTACTTCATGGGCTCTGCTGCGGCCCACGTGTTAATGGGCCATGGCCATGTAGCCGAGGCCCATGATATTTTTAACTTCCAACTGCTGGTATTAACAGTTACCGAAAATTACTGATTATTTGGCCAGATATTTTTTTTAATAACAATTGGCCAGATATTCTTAAAACAATCTTTTGTTTTTCTTCTGATAATAATAATTATCTAACAACCTATAATCAATTTTTCCAAAAAACAATATATTTGTTTTTCATATGATAATAATTTTTTGTTCAGGACTGGATTGTTATCCACTTGAGGGTAGAAAGTAAATTGTTACAAACTAAAATTTGGAGACTAAATCATTATTTTAGCGAAAGTATAATGACCATATATGTTTTTAACTTCGTGTTAGTTCAAAAAACCGACCCTCTAAATTAAAAAAATATTAGATTTACATTTTTAAACTATTATTATGTACTTGAAATCATTATTCATTGTCTTAATGAGTATCAATATGATACTATGTACAAAGATAAACTATGAAAATTTATAATAATAAAAAATCTAATTTTTTAGATATATTTTCACCAAATCACCATTCTCACGAAAGTATAAATTTATATTTCATAATTAAATAAAAAAAATGATGAAAAAAGGATTCAAGTTTATTATCCAAATGACAGATTTATTTGATTAGGAGACAGGAATTGACATTGATGCTTTCAGATCAAACAAAATAAAGAAGACAGATTAAAAGTAATTCAACATATAAAGCAGAAATAATAATTCAAGTGAGTCTGAAAATCAACTTCTCTGCACGATTTTCTTGATAAAAAAACCAAAAGACAAAAAAACTTTACTTGTTTCCGAAACTTCACACTATTTGACCGCCCTCCCTTAATTTGTACCATTTCTGACAGTTGACAACAGCGGAATCCAATTATGAGCAAAGTGATTAATTAAATATTGTATTATTGTAATTTGTTAAATGGATATTATTCAAATTTATGATCTATCAAAAAAATAAAAAAAAAACACTAACACTGAACTCTTGAATTTATATATTGCTTTTATCTTTTAAAACGTCAATTTTTATTCATGAGGTTTCAAATGTATGATGTGTTTGAAAATGAAGGTAGAATTAATAACTTTGAAAAAAAAATTTAAGTATAATTGATTTTCTAAAATCATTGAGTGATATCTTAAAAATCAATTTAAAATGATTTTAGATAATTTGCTGGTTGTAATGTAACTTTGAATAAGACACATATTACAATTGCAAAGGTAGATGGTTCAATCTCCCACATCTTCAAATTTTATTCTTTTTACATATAGGGATTCCAACGTACTATCTTTTAATTAGATACATATTAAGCTAGGTTCAAGTTGGTTCCACATCTTTAATTGTTGAACAAAAAAAAAAAAAACCTACATATAAATTTTTTTTAATACAACACGAGTATTCAAACTTACTATCTTTTGAAAACATTTTTTTTTAAACGAGAAATCGAAACAGTTTCCAAATACTTATGTTTATAAAAATTTGGAAACAATAGACGAAAGTGTTGCCAATCAAACTCTAATTTCCTCCTTTTTTTCGATCTTCAAAAAATAAATTGATGTTTGAAGGCTAAACTAACGATACGAGCTTAAAAAAGAAAGTGTGTATCACAAAATTAAGCGTCCAAAAGTATATCCAACTAGTTTAAGAGACTCAATGGAAGAAGAAGGAATGAGAATATAGATCAATACCATCCAAGGTTGATAATAATAACAATAAATAAATAAAAAACAAAAAATCTCATATGAAAACACACTAACTAATAAGCATTCATATTTCTACTAAACGTGACGAAAAAATTTGATAGCTATTTATTTTTCATACTTTAAAAATTGAAATTATTAAATGGATAGTAATTATGTTTCGAATTTTATTGTATTTAATATGTGATATAAAGTGGCTGAAAAAGCTATTTTACAATAAACAATGTCGGTCTTCGTGATTAGAGTAAGTAATAAATTTGCACAGTGGTCCATAATCTGTTGGAAGAAGGATAAATTTGAGACTCAAAATGTAAGATTTAATTACAAATGAGATAACAAGAATGACTCACCCATTAGACTATTGTTATTTCTTTCTTTTATTTATTCTTTTTATTTATAATGCAAAAGATCCCACTATAATGTAATCTATTTTACTAAGAATAGCTAACTAATTTGTTTAGTTTAACACTTATTAAAGTGAGGATCAAACCATAACTTATATAATAATACATGCATATCTTGTTTAAGAAAATGAAAACTTTTCGATAATATTATTATTACTTTTTAAAATCTAACGGACTTTTTTTTTATTATTTTATATACATAACAGATATTTTCTGCTAATTACGCTTCATGCTTGCTGCCTGAATCGGTTTAACTATGCTATATCAATTACAAAGTGTGATGTGTACATAATTAATGGATTATGGCGCGTTTCACCGTGGGTTCAAATGGCGCCACGTAATCATCCAATTTCCAAAGAAGCAAAATAAATGGAAATAAAACGCCGAGGCATTCCCGGGCACCCACAAAGCATCTGCCAGATTCGTCCTCTTCGCAGTCTCCATCGATATCACAGCGTAGTACATCGTCATTCCTCTCTTCTCTACCGAAGCCCTAGAATTCCTCCTCTGCCAGCCATCAACTTCGCGAAGGTAGATTCGATTCCTATATTTTTTGTCGTTGTTTGGTTGCCGAGAAAATGATGAAATGGAAATGGAAAACGATAGAAACAGATGTCGATATATCTTTCCACTGCTTCTCTCTCTATATCCCTCTCTTATTTGTTTCAACTTTAGAAGTGAGTGCGAGTGATTTGTTTTTTTCTTTACCGAAGGTTTTATGCTCGAGGTAAGAGAGCTAGGCTATTTGATTATGGAGCTCGAGTGTTTGATTCGTTGTTTGACTGTTCCAGTTTTTGTTTGTCTACGAGTTTCGTGAATCTGTCCATTTGTTCTTGTATTTTATGTTTATACGCGAAGTTGACAGTTGATTTTACTAGTCCACTTTTGATTATGTGGCGGCCGCCGGCTAGGAATTTCAATTTGACTTTTGTTTCTCGTTAAACAACTTTATAGGTCTCCATTTGAAGGCATCTGTTTCAAATATCGAATCGATTCATTTTTTTTTAATCATCGTTTGCGAGTTCCTTGCGGCTAAACGCATTCAGCTCTATCGATTAATTGTCTGTTTTTCGTCTATTTAGTGATTTTCTGTTTACCGCAGTTTCAGCTCCAACTATTCGCCAGCTATGTCGAGGAAGATGCTCATAGACGGGGAACTGAGCCATCCGGCCGAAGCGAAGGAACATTACGAGTTTGATTTGTTCGTTATTGGAGCAGGAAGTGGTGGTGTTCGTGCGAGTAGATTTTCAGCTAGTCATGGAGCGAAGGTTTCACATATTGACTTAAATATTTTCAGATGGATGAATTGTTTTAGTTTCATATGTATATTGATCATTCATTTCTAGTTACTTGTGCAAATATTACTATTGATATTGTTAAGATCTTGTATGCTTTTTCTGTCGACCGTTATTCTCCTTAGTATATCTTTTAAAAGAACTGGTTGATAAATATTTGACTCATTATGTTTGAAAATATGCTGGAAGGTTGGCATCTGTGAACTTCCATTTCATCCAATCAGCACAGAAGTCATTGGAGGAATCGGTGGAACGTTAGTTGTCCTACCAAGCTCTTAAAACTTTTTACTGTTTTTACAAAATTAATATATGTGTTACTAAACATTCTTTATCGTGCTTTGTCTCTCATTTGGCAAATTAGGTGTGTCATTCGTGGCTGTGTTCCCAAAAAGATTCTAGTGTATGGGGCATCTTTTGGTCCTGAGCTTCAGGTTAGAATGTAATTTTTATAACTTTTATTTATATGAAGATGCAACAGAGTTCTTCAGTTTTTGTTAGATCTCCATTAGTTTTAACCTGAATGGTTGAATTTGACATTTGGAACCTTCTGCTTCTGACAAACATGCCAACTTTAGTATTTATCAGAGTGATGGTGCCTTGGAGAGTCATTTTGAAGTTATACTAATTTTTCTTTGTGGACATGATATTGTGAATAAAGCATGTGTTGTTTGTGTAGGATGCTCGAAATTTTGGTTGGGAAGTGAGTGAGAAAGTGGATTTTGATTGGAAGAAACTCTTAAAAAAGAAGGTATGTTTCTTATACTTCCATGTTTTGCATGTAACCTCTATCAATCTCAAAACAATCTTTATAGAGCTTGTTTTTCTGTAAAGTACATGATTCATTTTATATAAAGAGCTGGGTTGTCAATAGAATAGGAGGTTCTCAGAAGGTTGCAATAACCCTGCTGGTAATTCTATCTCATACTCTTAGGGCAAGGAATGCTGTAAACCTGCACTGAGATAGTGAGACTTTCTAAATAAATTAAACTAAAGTTTAAGTTCTTTCCATGATTTAACTGATAGATGAAGATGGGTAGGTAATCCTCTCCAGTGCAACAAAAGCTCTTATAGCTCCTGACTTGATCCTCATGTAACTTACCTGCCTCTAGTTTTACCCCCTTCATTATGTCTTTTTCTAGAATTTTCCTTGTTATCATTTTATGTGAAACCTATTTGTTGATGAACTGAAAAGAGTCAATAATCCTACGTGCGAAACTATGAGTCATGCATTTGATCTTCATATTTAAAATGTTTTGAGAATGTAACTTTTATAGAGCAAGCACGATGGTGACATATTTTCCCCAAATGAAATGAGCAATCCAAGTTTTCAGATTAAATGGTGGAAATAGTTAGACTTCGCTATGAGTTTTACCTGGTGGAATGGGTTCGTGTAAGTGAGGGAAGTCTGAACTTGAGAAATTATATTTACAGATGCATGGAACTTTTAGTAGATTCTTAGTTATGACCAGTTTCTCATTTCTTCTGACACACATTTTGCCCGCCCTAGTATTACTTCTAGGAATTAGTAGGAATTGTCCCTTCAAAAATTTTCATTTTTATTTGATTTTAGTGTTTCTTGTCTAATATGGAGGCATATACTTTGTTAATTTTTGAACTGTAGACAGATGAGATAGTCCGATTAAATGGAATTTACAAGCGTTTACTGTCTAATGCGGGAGTGAAAATGTATGAAGGAGAGGGAAAGGTCGTTGGTCCACATGAAGTTGAGGTGACACAACTTGATGGTACCAAATTATGCTATTCAGCAAAGCATATACTGATTGCAACTGGCAGTAGAGCTGTGGTTCCTGATATTCCTGGGAAGGTACTTTTTTTTTTTAATACAATTTTTTCTTTCTTTCTGTCTAATGAAGTTACTTAATGGCAACTTTGAATGATAAGTATCTGATTGCATCCACTGTTTCTGTTGAGAAGTTTGCCAACCTTTAGTATTTTAACCGCTTCTTAAGAAATTACGTGCTATATATCCTAAATTTGATGTATTTTTAGGCGTAAGTTAAATTCTTTGCTTACATTTAAAAAAAAAGAATAATATTGTCGTTACTTGAAGTGTTAACTCCAATGGAGACATGAATTCTGTATGGTGTCTATTGGAGAATGAAGAGGAATATAAGATGTGAATTATGTTCTGATAGGGCTTTGCAGTCCTTGTATTCTCATGCACATTACGCACAAAGTTTTAGGGGTCTCGAGAAGTTATGTGGTCAAGCTGATTATAAGTTAGAGAGTTGCACGCATAAACACTGATTGTGGTTCTAGGCTATGACTTATGCTATCAGTGTACCCAGTTGTTCATGAACATGGATTCATAATGCTCATTGAGAAAGTTTGTGCCACTTTTGATAGTCTTCTTGCTGAATTTTTGTCTTTAAGTTATGGTATGACTTGAAGTTCTAAAAAATTTCCCCTAAAAGAATGGCTCAGCTAAATATAGATGCAGAGTACCTCTGTGCTATCATTTAGTGCGAGCCTTGCATATGGATATGCAATTTAATTTGTTCCTTTTCTTTGTCATTCATTCATCATGTTTTTAGCTTCATTTTTTTATAACTAAAATTTTCCTTTGTGTAGTTTTGTGGAGTTAGATTATTGTATGAACATTTTATTTACATGAATGATGGTTGTAATTTCTTTACCATGTCCAGTATCTGAGCGCTTGAAACACTTTTTTTGTCTGGTAAAATTTGTTTGGCTTACTATTGGAAAAGTTTTGGCACATCGCATGCAATTCTAGAGCCAAATCATTGGTTTTATCATTCTCCTCTTACTTTACATTTTCCAAATTCTAGGAGTTGGGGATAACATCTGATGAGGCGTTGAGTTTGGAGGAGTTCCCTAAGCGTGTTGTGGTGCTTGGAGGAGGGTGCGCTCTCACTTTTTTATAAGTTCATCTGCTTCATGCTTTTATGATTGAGGATCATTACTCCTTTTCTGTTATTAGGTACATTGCTGTTGAATTTGCTTCAATCTGGAATGGGATGGGTGCTAAAGTTGACCTATGTTACAGAAGGGAACTTCCGTTAAGGTATGATATGTTTTATTCTACGTTTTTTTAGCTCGTTTATTTTTGAAGGATCGAACTGCCTGATACTTCGATACAGATTACAGAAACCGATGATGTGGTGTTATGGTTGCTTATATCTTCTTATAGCCGTTGATCCTTTACAGTTCTGCACCACTTAATGATGAAGATGTTCAATTCATGCGCCCAAATCAAAAAACAATAGGATAGAGAAAGAGATTAAAATATATTATGACTCAGTGTGTATGCATGTGATCCTGGTATCATCAATCGTTACATGCTGGTGTCTCTTTTTCTGTTATCCTAGTGCTCTTGGATGCTGTAACTTTTTTTTGGAGTGTATCTAAAAAGTTGTATTTCAGAGGTTTTGACGATGAAATGAGAGCAGTGGTTGCAAGGAACCTGGAAGGCAGAGGAATTAATTTGCATCCAAGAACAAATCTGAAAGAAGTACTTTTCGTTATTTCTCCCTCTTTTATCCTATTTTAAGGTTTCCTTTGTATGTTGTATTTAACCTTTTTGATAATACTAGTCCCAATTTTCTATAAACTCAGTTGATTAAAACAGAGAGCGGCATAAAAGTTATCACAGATCATGGTGAGGAGTTGGTTGCTGATGCTGTGTTGTTTGCAACTGGTAATCATCACTTTGCACTTAATAACCTCTTGAAAAAGTTACTGCACTTATTTGTTTTGCTATTAGGTAGTGAAAAATGTCAATTTTGCAAGGAAGTATGCGGTTTGTGTAGAAAGATGAAGGGAAAGAATATACCAAATGTAGGCTTTACTTTTAAATGTCTTAAAATGTATCATGCAACCATGAATTCCATATAAAATGTGCCAAATGATTCACTAGATAGATTACTTAAAGTTAAATTGAGACAATGAGAAAAGTCTGTCTTCATAAGCTTGGGTAAAAAATTCACTGGCAGTAATGAGATGATGCTTGTTCAAATCTTGGACTGATGAACCACCATGGGTTGGCGGTCATTGGGACTAATGAATGGGGATAATTGAAAGAGTAAGGTGCTTTTAGGGATGGGGAGTGAGTATATTGCATTCATCTTTGAGTAATACTCTAGAAGATTAGTCTTTTAGCTGAGCTATATTGCAATGCATTAAAAGCTATTTTGGATGGAAAGATAGAGTGATAAGAGGTCAAAACTATTTAATATATGTATTTGGAGTTATTTTCTTCATTTATTAGACATTGAAACTAAAATTACATAATTTCATAATTTAGAATGTAAGTTGTTTTTGGATAGAATTATATTTGGCTACAATGCATCTTGTATATGTAAAAGATATACTAATTATAACTTGTCACCTATCGATGATATGCAATTAAGTATAAAACTGATAAATTTAAATTTTAGCAATAAAATAAAATAGGTTTTATCCTCTCAGCTGTATTATTTCATAGTAAATGAAAGCTGTTTCTTATTAAAAAAACTTCTTGAGTTTTTAGATTTACAATAACTTATGAGACAAATACAATGTGTTTGATAAATGATACTTGTTTTTAACAATGATGGGTTGATCTAGTTGTTAAATAGTCGAGTTGTGAACCCAAGAACCTTTGTGCTTTTAGGTTCCAACCATATTGGTTTTCAATTATGTCTTTGTTATTTACATGATAAGTTGATAAGTGACATGTTTGTTACAGGTCGCGCTCCTAATTCGAAAAGATTAAATTTGAAAGCAGCGGGTGTGGAAGTTGATAAACATGGTGCTGTGAAGGTAATTATCTATCTTGCCTTTTTATCAATACATATTGTATTTTGAATTCTTTTTAAAAGATTACATCTACCTCATGTTGCATCTAATAGTTACTTTTAAAGATCTTAATCTGTTGATCCTACTCTAAACTCTTTATGTGGGGCAGCTAGCCTTTCACTCATAAGTTATCACTTACCTGAGCTATTGACCTAGAAATATTTTGGGGAAAAAGTCGTAACTATAGAAAGTAAGGAAAGTGCAATATGAGTTGTGATATCTGCTAAATATGCTGCCAAACCCACCATTAGTTTGTGCAGATAAAGACTTTTAGGGGGAAAAAATTGGAACTAGCTACTTTCAGCTGAGTTGCAGACCAAGCTGCTTTATTCAGTTTTTATGGTTCCAACAAAGGAGAGTTTCTATTGTTTCTTAATCCAAAAAGGAAAAAAAACGAAGGAAAGTTTCTATGCAACCCATCTAGACTATCTCTATCAAAATGTAAATGGTATTTAATGAATCAAACCACATTTCACAAGCACCTAGAGGTCAATATTTGAGTAGATGGTTTTACAGGATGTGTATATGAGGAGAAAACATGGGGATCAGTTTCTTTTTTAAGAGTAAAATAAATGTATAAATATATCATAATCTTGACTAAACATTATGTATTAAAAAAAGCACTTACTCTTTCTGGAATCTTAGTTCTCAATTGGATGGACTGTGTAACGATGCCAAGCAGGATTGCCCTTTTGCATTCACTTAGTGCCATTAGCTTAATTCTCCATTGGATATTGAGCGGATTTAACATTTTGTACTCACTTACAGTGCCCTTATAAGGGATTTCTTTGGCTTGTTTCAATCTTTTCTGAGGGAAATGATGTTACAAAGATGTCTTCCTCCGCTTATCCAGGTTGACGATCATTCACGCACAAGTGTACCTAGTATATGGGCTGTTGGAGATGTTACTAATCGAATGAATCTTACACCCGTGGCTTTAATGGAGGGATCGTACTTTGCAGTATGTATTATATTATTTTCTTTCTATATTAATCTATTAATCACTTCTGTTTTCCCATGAATATTTCCAATAGTCCTGCTAATTTTGATGCAAATTGTATTTAGATTTATTTTTATTTATCTGCAGCAAACTGTGTTTGGTGGTGAGCCTAGCAAACCAGACTACAATAATGTACCCTATGCTGTATTCTGGTAACAAATTGTTCTCTTTTAGTTGAATTTTCGTTATGTATTTTGATTAAAAGTTCAGATTATGCCTATTTATGCACCCATTTAAGAAAAATAGTATGTTTGTAACACTAAATTTAATGCGACGAAGAGGCCACTTGATTGAAGAATATAATCTGTTCATCTTTGCAAATGATAGTGTTCTCTCTCGTTCTCGAGGGTCATAAAAAACAACGTTTTACCTATACGAGTTATACAAAGCGAGAAACTAGGCTGATCTACTATTAGATCTGCAAGTATGCATTATTCTATTGCACGTGTTTCTTCTACAGTAGTTTGCAGAGAATATTCTCTTGTAAGGACATCACTTATCCATTAATAGGTATAGGTAATGGTGTAGTATCTAATTCATTCTGGTAAACTTTCAGCATACCTCCTCTCTCTGTTGTGGGCCTAAGTGAAGAACAAGCTGTAGAGCAAGCAAAGGGTGATATTCTGGTCTATACATCTTCGTTCAATCCAATGAAGAATACAATCTCTGGGTACGTATGACAGATTCAGATTAAGCTTGAATTAATTAATAATGTTACCATGCATCGATAATTTCTGATGATTTAATGTGTCATTTGCTCATGACTAATACTGGAGAGCCAGCCTCCATTTTGATCATTCTTTTTGATTTCTTGATATATACTATAGCCGAAAAAATGTATTTCAAGGCCTGTACAATTACCTCAAGATTTCATTTATTCTGGAAAATATAGATTAGAATAGGCAGTGGAATTAAAATGATACCAAATTATTAATGTAAATAATTTTTTGTTGGTTTTTGTTTTTTTATAATATGAAACCATGCTTTCACTGAGATAAAATGAAAGAATTACAAAGGCATACAAAACAAAAAAAAGCCTGACAAAATGTGATCGACCTATAAGTAGGGACCTTCACAATAGAATAAACGCCTAACGACACCCTCATAGAGGAATTAAATGTAATAATTTCCAAACATTTTCTTAAGGCCTCACAATCTCCCTAAAAATGTTGCTATTAGCCTATTTCTCTCAAGCCAAATACCCTCCCAAAATAGGAAGGAAAAAAATTGACTGTTTGGTGCCCTCACCTCAACCTGGTTTCAACTCACATGCAATATGCAACTTTGATTATATTATAGGCGACAAGAGAAGACGGTGATGAAACTTGTGGTGGATGCTGACACACACAAGGTCCTCGGCGCATCCATGTGTGGACCCGATGCTCCTGAAATTATGCAGGTATGTTTTGCTTTATAATTATATAAATTTAGAAAAGACAGTCTATTATGAACTCATGGAAGTTGTCTAAAAAAAGAACTTGATTTGCAACATTTATATGACTGGTCCATTTCAGGGGATCGCTGTCGCCCTAAAATGTGGAGCAACCAAGGAACAATTTGACAGCACTGTAAGTTTTAACTTTCATCCATCACCTTTGCCTTATAGGATACAAACTTCGCCTTATTTGCGGATACACAGAGTCAAAGTAGTAGTTAGGGAGAAATTTAACATACGCTCGTTATGAGTTTTGGAAGAGAGCTTCATACCGAGTTTTGGGTCCCTTTGGGATGACTATTGCGAAAAATACATTAGAGTGACGTACTTTTTTTTCAAGCACTTGGCATTAAGCACCTCAAATAATTCTTAAAGTACTTTTATAACTCTTAGAATCACCAAACAAACAATAAAATTTTAAAAAGCGTTTTGATTCCTTCCATAGTCGTATCAAACTCACATTATGTTTAATGGAAGCGGTTGGTACTTAAACAGGTCGGAATACACCCATCTGCTGCAGAGGAGTTCGTAACGATGCGAACTGTAACCAGGCGAATTGAAGTGGGTAGTATATTGAAAACAAATCTGTAAAACCCAAGCACTTTTTTTACATCAGGAGGGGCCTTGTAACTTTGGAAGATGGCATCTCATCTCCATGGTAAGGATATGAATTTGGTTTTGTTACTATGCATCAAAGGTTACGGGGTATAAATGAAACAAAATGTTTTTTTTTTCTTTTTAATAATTATTATCATTACTTTTTTTTTTTGTTGGAATAAGGAGTGCTATAGCCAATAGGTTTCAATTCAATGTTTGCGGGGATGTGCATTATTCATGATGTGGGCTTACTGAATATGAGTTGGGTAATATCATGCGATTATTCTGTAATTTCTACTGGATTCCTTCTATTTTTATTGAGTGTCTAAGAATTTTTTTTTTCCCGCTAATTGGTTTGATCTAATTTTGTTTGTTTATTTGTTTCGTGTAATTTTTAAAATAAAAAAAAAAGTTTTTGGTCAGTCTGTTTGTCTAGGATTTGATCTTGCTTGGTTCCTTTTCCAAAAACTTAGATTTTTTCTCCAAAAAATTTATAGGCCATTTAATAGATTTTTGCTAAAGATCTTAATGACTTGTTTTTTTTATTCCTTAAATTTTTCTTTATGAAAAATAAAGTTATTTCACAATTTATTTAGGCCTTCATACTAATTTTTTTTTTCTATTTATGAAAATTAGCTTATTAACGTATTTTAAAGACGTTTTAAAAATCAGGCTAAATTTTGTAAAACTGAAAAGGGTAGTTTTTAAATAATTGTTTTCTATTTGAAATTTGGTTAAGAACTTAAGAATACAAATTTTCTTAAGAAAGCTGAAACTTATTTCAAAGAAATTGAGAGAAATGATGTATAAGTTTTAAAAATTATTAATAAAAAAGGCAATTGTTATTGACCTTTTTAGATTTTGATTAATGTTATTATACTATACACCAATGGGAATTGAAATGTATTTTACTTGGCGTGTAGACAAATACAAATACATGATCTAACAATTCTTCAAGTAATCCTTTATGATCGTTTCAAGAAAACCTTCGTGGTTAAGTAATGAAAAATTTAGTGCTCGTTTATTCTTCTTGTTTTTTTTTTTCAATTTAGAAAAAGAAAAGGGTATTGGTAACTATTCTGTCTCTTTTCTCTCATAAAAGATATAATAAATATAACACAAAACTTTTGAGTAAAAAAAAAAACTAATTCAAAACTTCAAAAAACTAAGAAAGAGTTATCAATATAGTTTTTTTATTATTTTTTTAATGAAAAAAGAGGAAACGAGAATAAAAAATAAGTCTTCAGATTAAGAACTAAACCACATATTTCTACTAGTCTACGTAGAAGGTGATTTCAGACAAATCTTGACGTAGTCTTCATTAGAGATTTTAAAGTTAATTAAATTATCTAATTTCCAACGATTTTGCCCAAACATCATGCTATGGTGGAGAATGAAAAAAATATTAACCATCACCTTATTTAGAGGTATAACAAATCTGGATAAGATATTAATAGGTGAACAATTAATAGCCATTATTTACAACGGATGAGTAGGCATACCTATGTCACTGTCTTCCCTTCACATACGTCGCATATTGTATAACCAAGGCCTTCGCAATATGGGCATTTTGTTCCTTCATCTACCCATTCAAGGAACTGCAAAACATTCAAATACAATCGAGTCTCACCTTCTCAAAATCTGAAGGAAATAAAGACTGGTTAATGAGTAATGGTTTACCTGTGGTTCGATATTCGGCTCACCACTTCCATCGCATTCTGAGAAATTAAAAACAATCATAAGGTATTGGCGACATTTATATTATATTGAACTAAGGTTGTAGTAGTAGATCTTTAAGAGCAATCATGGGATATAAATACACACATATAACCATTAACAACACCATGTATATACGTGCAAGAAAAAAAACTTATGAACCGATGTAAGATTCAGCAAAAAAAATTATATACCGTTTTGGGTAAGTTAACTATGGAATTTGTCAATAGTATATAATTCTTATAATAGCTTTTAGATGCGCCCTGATCGGTGGTTATAAGAATAAAAAAGTTCAAATAGGATTAATTTGGAGGTAGTTCCAAAGACATTCTTAAACTACGAATCATGGTATTGGATAACTCAAGTACCGGTTTTAGGCGCTTTTTTTTTTTTTAATTACGTTTATTTTTGCACTATGTCATTAATAACTTCTCCACTCGTTTCCAAAACATATTTGAATTCTTTGCTAAATTTAAAAAATATAGAAAAAAAAAACTACTTTTTTCTTGGTTTTAAAGTTTGATTTAGATTTTGAAAATTTCTATGAAAACATATGATAAACGAAGGAGCATGTAGGTGAAAAAATAATTCTAACCTTAGATTTTTACAAAATAGAAAAATGAAAGACAAAATAGTTATCAAACGAGTTCGAGAAAAATGCAGTGTTGCTTTTTGACTATGAATGATAATCATGTACCTGTGCATAACAGACGACCCTCCCCACGGCAAGTACGACACTTGTTAAGTACGCCTTTAGTCTTCCCATCAGAAGCTTTTCCATTTGAACTACGAAGTCGAGAGGGATCCTCCCATCGGTTCTCACCAATGAGAAAAACTCGCTGTTGGGACAACTCTAAATTTGCGCCGCCGCCTTCTTTTACTACTGTCTTCTGAATCTCTGAAATTTCAGTTTTTGAATTAACAATAGCTCCATTCTCAGCTTCCTGAAAAGAGGGGAAAATCACTCATCTCTAAACATCTATGAAATGTGAAGAATTAGAAGAACATAATTCATAATGCTGACATCCAACTATTCAGAAATAAGAAGTTCTATGACCGTAGCTCTCAAGTCTCAAATGCATTCTTCATATAAATCCCACAAAAGATTTTGCCATTAAGTAAATAGAGGACAGTAGAACACCGAATACGTCTATCCAGAAAGACATAAAAATTTGCAGTTTGAAATTAATTTCTAAACACACTTACTTTCTGATCTGTTGGGATATTCCCTTGTTGATCTGTTTTGGCATCTGATCCAGTACTCTCAGTTAATTTCCCCTTGAATAAAATCTCAAGGAGCTCTGCAGTCATTATACCATCTTCAGGAAAACCTGAGGCGGCCTACCAAATAAAAATATGCACCATACAATACAGTATCACCGATTGAAACAATATGTACTCAATCTATATTAATGTCATCCAATTAGTAAAGAATGATATACTACTGCCAACGCCAGAATAATCTTACTTGCCAAGTTTTAACGGCACGTTCAGTTCCACTGGAGAAACTTGAAAATTCCATGTCTTCCTCACCAGAGTAAAATCCTAACCTTAGCAATGCTTCCTGACATTTTGGTAGAGACAAAACAAAACCATCCGGAAGCATGATGTTCAATGATCTTCATAATAAAAGAAATTAAAGAATCTCAACTAGCTAAAAGCAGGAAAACGAGACTCGCATACCAAAAAAGTGAAGAAGATAGAGATTCATTTAAACTGGATTTCACAAAACTAAACACAAATCTCGACAGTCAACATCAATCACAGAGTTGAATCCAGAATATATTTAATAAGCCAATACTATTCATTGGCTTCATTCTATTTTATTCTTTATCTTAAAACTATTCTTCTAGGGCAGTAGGCTTCAATTGCTCAGCGTTGTGCATAATCAGTTTGATCTACCACACCGCTGGCATAAGGTTATAAAATTCGATCCAATTCTATCCAAGGCACAAAATTATAGGAAAACAAAAGCAGCATGAACTTAAAACTCGCCTTCTAATATTTGATAGAAGAAATGCGTATGGCGAGCAGACCTGCATCGCTAGGACCTCCGCTCCTTCCGATCCATTTCTCAAAGACTTCCTCTCACTCTTCACCTCTTTCTCTGCTTTAATTCCATCGGAAAACCTAGCAACTTCTTCAACAATTTCCTTCTTCTCTATCTCCACGTCTTCTTCCCGACTGCTCTCGTCCAACAATATGTGACTCGCGGTCGGCCCGCTCTCGGCGATCAGATTCTTGTCCTTCAACGCCTGTAACAGACCGGCGATATTCGCTATAGTCTCCGACACCGAAACCGCTCCTCCTTGTATGGAGTTTCGGCGTTCTAGCGCTTGAATTTGCAGCTTAAGCTCAGCAATTCCCTGCAGAAGCGACTCGCGTTCTCTGGTCCAGCGCTGCTCTTCTCGGATCCACCGTTCCTCTTCGCGAAGCCACCGCTGCTCCTCCCGAAGCCATCGCACCTCCTCGCGGTCGTTGCCAGCAGGATTGAGAGAGTGACAGGCGACGGAATTGGCAAAAGAACGAGATGAAATCTTGGGAGAGGGGAAGATTTGGAGAGTGAAGGGGAAGAGCGGCTGTGATCTGAGATGAAGAGAAGGATTGAGAGGAAGAGTAATGGAGGAAGACATTGAAGAACGGCAGAGAAATTGAAGATAACAACATCGACGAGTGGGGAGAAACGGAGGAACGGCGAATTGGTAGAAGAGAGAGAGAAGATATTTTCCGATATGCAAAATTTCAGGCTGAGAATTTAAAACCACACGTTTTGCGTGAAGCAGGTGGCGGGAAATCCAACATCACCCGACCCTGGCAAAGTCATAGGCCCAGCACACGATCCCTCCGCTCTGCGGCTTTTTTTCTTTTTTCTTTTTTTTTTTTAATTCGGTAAAAGCTGAACGAACAAATTATTTCCAGGTGTAATAAGATGCTTGATATGACCTTGTATTTAATTAAACAAAACATAGAATATTTTATTCAAAACATAGTTAAGTAGTAATTGATATATATTTTTAATCCAGAGATTGTGAATTTTTTTTTTATATCTTTTTAATACGGTACATGTGGGGTGGATACTTGAACTCTTGATCTTTTTAATCGGAAATAGATGTCTTAATTAATTGAACTAAGTTTAAATTAACAATTTTCATATATTTTCATATTTCGAAGGTCCTTTGTCCTACTCCATCGAGTTGTATGAGCAAAAAGTAAATTAGGTACAATGTAACAATTAAGTATAGATTTTTTATGAAGCTATGCTAGTGCATCAGCTTAAAACTTTAAATTCTCGTGTGGTTTTACTTTTAGCTCAATTTTAATTGTTCGGACATACAAATCAAAAGTACAATCAATTAAAATTACGAGTCCTTTCTATTTAATTTTACGTATATATAATATTTTAGAGAGGCACATCAAAAGAAAAGTTCAACATTTTACATTTTATTGAATATATTTGATTTGAATACTATTTTAGTCATAATACTTTTGAATAAGTATATTTTATTTATTTTGTTTGGTCAATGTATTTTCTAAATTTTCATTCTTGTTGACTCACTTTTAAAATGACACTTTACTCGCTAAATTTCATAAAATGTAACCATAAATTTGTAAAAAAGCTTTAATTATATATAAAAATTTTGTTAAACTTTTGCAAATAAGGACTAGAATATCCATTAGAATATCCCTTATTTATAAGTATAAAAATCAAAGCAAACGTTTAAAAAATATAGAGATTAAGGTGAACTAGAATTGAAGTGCAATGACGAAAATATACATTTTTAAAATACGTCAGGACCAAAACAATATTCAAACATCTAGCTTTTGTAATCTAAGACAAACCAAGAGGGCCAATTCCTCCCTTGGTCCTTGCTTGGCTCTGCCCTATGTTGAACCTAAAACCACATTCTCACGAAACGCCAAATAGTGACAATAGATTGTAGCAGAAGATTTTAACGCAGAAAACTATCTCCACCAGAAAAATGCCACCAACTTCAGATCAATATTGCAGAAACTCAATCTTTTGAACATAAGTAGAACAACCAAGTTTATGGAATTCAACTAGATCAAAGATTCTAAAAATGGAATTTATTTTGAACCTTGGGAAAACTCATGTTCACCAAAAATAAAGTACAACAAAGTTGAATAATTGCATCACCACCTCTCGCAATCTTCCACGTCGTCAACAGATGCGTATCGACCCCTGTGAGTGGTGACTTTTGATAATATACATAAAATTAATCTCATTTCAAAAATAACTTTATTATACAACAACCCATCTTGTTATGCATCCAATATATATCCATCATTATCCTGTAGGGCGCATACAATACCATTGCTACCATTAATAATACCAAGGTTTTCTACACCAAAATGTAGACAAGAACATTGTTGAAAGGGCACTTACACAAATCTCGTGCCGAAATGCTTCGACGAAGGACACAAGTCGTTTCGCGCGTCTATGCAGTTGGATGCTTCAATCAATCTTAGTCCAATTTCACGTTAGAATAGAGGAGGGTGTCCCTTGTGAGTGGCATCCTTAGAAGGCAGCACGACTGCAGTGGAAGGACAGAACGTCAACGTTAATTGAGGGGTCGATAATATTACCATGAAACAAAATGTAGCAACCATCAATATTCTTATGTTGTCACAGACTCACATTTTATGAACAGTAGGTGAAAATATTTTTTTAGAACAAAAAATTAGCCAAAATAAGATTCAGAGTACACAACGGAAACGATGAATGTCAACAGCACACTTCCATAAGAGAAAGATGCTTCATTATGTATAATGTCATTACTCATTTATGCACAAAAAAGTGGCAAGGTGGCGAGTTTGGCCCAGCTTGTTAAATTTTGTTTTTACTCAAGTCCTTGGCTCAAAAATCCATTACATTTTTTTTTGGCGGCAAAAATCCATTACATTACTTCCTCAGTAATGAGTATTTTCCACAGGTTTCCCAAATATTGATATGGATTACTCTTCAAAAGCACCAAAAAAATCAATACCAACTGCTATTTAATTGAGTTCAATAACCCTAATAACCAGTCAGTCATATTTCTAAGGCCACAAAACAGGAATCTATTATAGAAAAAAAGCATAAAATAACGAGTCAGCATAAGATGTTTATTTTAAAGACTAAACTAGAGCAGCAAAATAGAATAGAGGTGAAAATTTTTACCCCCATGAGAGTAGCAATCAAAAGGATGATTCCTGTGATCCAGGCAAGGGTTGTCCTAACCAATATTACTTCTTGAATAGTCGTGTTAAGTTTGACGTCTTCCACCAACCAACGTGGAGCTAGCCGAGGGGTAAACACCACATTTAATCCTTTCTCTGCCTTTTGTGGTGATGATTCAGAAAAGAGAATGACTCCAACAATTTGACCTGCAAATTAAATTACAGGTGTTTATGTAAACACTAATTTCCAAAAAACCTAAATCACTTGTTCCAAAATAAAAGGGGGTGTTGTAATTGACAATAATTTTGAGCAAGAATGTCATAAAGGTGATACATTTATATATCAGGTTACTGGTTACATAAAATTTGTCACTCTCCAGGACAAAAACTGGGAGCTTAATCATGAACAAGTGATGCACTCCTCAAACCAAAGCAACCAACCACTTACCATCATATGCTTCTTGGAGTAGGTGGAATATCTTGGACAAAGTAACAATAAATAGTCTTGATCTGTGATCAGCATCTCCTTCAGAATCATCTTGATCTTTCAATGCCTGCTAACCCATTGGTAAATATTGATTAAACTAAATGAAATCTATATTTTTTAAGAAAAGAAACAAAAAAAAAAAGTGATAGCATTGGGGAATAGGAAAATCAAAACACATAACCACATTCAATATATGTTATTTTGCTGCAAAAATTTATTTCTAAATAAGGCGGCAGAATCACACGGTTTCAGGCTCTCAAGCCCACACCACCTATGATCCATAAGTACTATAGTTGGTAGCACTAGAAACCATAGTACATTAGTACTAATAACCTCGTCAGGTCTCTACAAATATACTAATATTTAAGTTTTTAACTGCACAGTACAACTAAAACGAGGCTAAATGAATATTGCAAGTTAGGAATGTAAATTGAATAATGTCATGGGAAAAAAACATCAAAATCAAGAAAAACAGCGTACCTTGATGCTATTGAAAGAACCACTGATGAGTTCAGCTGGACTTCGCACATTTTGTGACAAATCCTCATGAATGTGTACAGCCCTTCTACTATTGTGAAAGAGACACAAAAGATTACCTATAAATTCTCTGTCCTCTATCTGCAATCGTGCATAATGCACCAATGAACACATGAATAGGACAAGTATAAAAATAACCAAGTAATATTCTGAACAGAGGGAGAAAACCTTAGACAAATAAAGATTTATCTTAATGGCATCAGTCAAGGGCACAGTCAACTCTCCGTTCAAGGTTTTTGATTCATCGGCAATGTATGATCCACCAATAAAAGATGCCTAGATAGATATTTAAACAAATTAGAAATTGTTAAAAATATAGGCATAAGCATACAATAAATATCATGACTTACAAATTCTCTAATATCTTCATCGGTATAATCTGTCAATGGTTCATTCAAAGGAACAACAGAGACTTCATCTTCATCTGCTAATAACTAGCATTAGAAAGGGACTAATGGGAAGCTGAAAATATTAACCCAGTAATGATTTTGGAAGAAAAATGTACCAGGAAGTTGGATGTCAGCACTCTCAGAACCTACATGAACCTTGCTCGTAAGGACATTGCTGGATATGCCACTTTTTAGATTTACAATTTCAGGACCTACATGTATCAGAAGGGAAAAAATAATGTTTACACCTTTAGAAAACATGCAAACAAGAATAATATTTTCAATTTTATTTTCAAAAGTACTGCAGATACCATATTCTCCTTTAATTTCAAGCATTAAAACTGCACGAGGCCTATCAAGCGGATTTGGCATCAAAATGCCATTCAGCTGCAAAAAACATAAATAACATGATCAAAACTTTTAGGCCTCAGAGATATGTCAAATTTACGAGGAAAACTTTTGCAGAACTTATCAAACAACTAAGAACCTTAGATGAACCAGAAGCTGAAAGTGTTGAAGGTGGCACAAAACCAAGCAAGACTGATATAGCAGCACCAATTTCTGGTAGTGACATTGAACTAAGCTGTGGAAATCAAATATACAGGCATAATATGAAAAGATTGTACAATATTTATACACTAAAAATAACAGATTATGTAAGCACTAATGATAAATTCCCATGCACTTACAATTACATTAATATTTCCCGCTCAGAATATAGGTAACTAGAAACCGGCATAACATAGTAATACAACATGACCAAATATTTAAAATTGCTCAACAATGGTCGATAACTCGATAGGTTGAAATTAGAAGAGTTAACAATGTCGTCAGACCATTGCCGTAAAAAAACCCTTCAAGGTCCTTTTCAATTTCAACATCACGAAATGTTGACGCATAGGTTTTCTTCAATCCGTTAACAGTTATATCTCAAATATAAATAGATGCTAGCTAATGCAACTTATTAGAGAAATGGGCCCGTGAATTCCAGAATATATTGTTAAGATTTAAGAAAGACCAACTCAACTAAGTTAAAAAATAAGTAGTTCCAGATTCAATTTCTTCAATCCGCCAGAATACGAAATGCACAAACACAGACATTTAAAAAAAAATCAAAATCAAAATAATTCGAGCTCACAAATCGAGCCTATTCACAGACAATTGACCGAACCGATCAAGCCGGGGCAAGGAAAATACAGAAGAAACTAAATTACCTCGAAGCCATCATCGGGCGAATGAGATCGAAGATATTGATGCGACGAGCTATCAACGAACAGTACCGTACCAGTATCCTCGCACTGGATCAAAGCAGAAAGAGGTAAAACATGTCAAATTGAATAATTTTCAGATCCCGCGGCAACAACGCAGTATTAATCCCCTTGGATTTAGAATCAAACAGAAACATTGAAATTAACAGATAGAACGAACCCTAGCCAGAGGCAGGATGATTAACAGGCTGAAGAATATGTAGGAACTGCGAAATTCCATCTTGGAGAGATTCTGAACCCTGCAGCCTTCGGAGAACAAGAGGAATCAGCAATCGCCGAGCGAAGTCTACACCTGAACGATCGTGGGTTGCGTCGGGCCGAGTCGTGGGCTTGGATTCTCTCGGGGTCGTTCTAACTTCACGAAACAATCATCGAATGAATCAGCCCAAATTCCATCTTGTAACTTGTTTATTAAATTTCTCCAAAAAAAAAAAAAGTTTATTAGTTAATAAAGCATAATAAAATCATTTTTGGCTAATTACTTTTTACTATCTTTGTCCTTTTTTAAATAAAATATTAATCTGTTGGGTCTAAACTTTTGATTTCAGCAACGTTTTTTTTATAAGGCCAGTTTGCGTTAAACTTAGATAATAGTTATAGTTTTTATTCTCGTGTTAATTTACCTAAAAAATTCACTAATTTAATGAAAATTAAATTAATTAATCTACCCCATTAATCATTAAATAATTCTGCTAAAATTTACCCATAAAAAAATCTTATTATTCTTTTTGCCTAAAATTATATCAATTTCGTACCAAATATATATGTTTTATCATTCAATTTGATAGGCATGAGAAGTGTGAAGATTGCAAAACAATGGTGAGTATGATTAATACACTTTGCTAAATTTTGGTTAAATAGATTTTTTTAACTATATATACAAAAAAAATTGTCCAAAATACCTATTACCACAATTATCATAAATAGATTATTGGTCTAAAGGGTTAAGATAATTAAAGCGATGTATTTCATCAGTAAGATTAGTCGAGATTTGCATAGAAAGAAAATAATACCGCTATATATAACAATATGAAACTACCTACGACTCGATTCTTTTATTCCGTAACTATCACAATTGAGGTGTGTTTCACTTTGGAATTTTTAAATATTCTACAAAGGAAAAAAGCGTCCAACTTTCAATATTCTATAGGCTTGATTTTTTATTTTTTTTTTTACTTTTTATTTTTGAGACTCTATAGCCTTGATATACACTGCTCACTTTGTTCTTCTTCCATTTTGTATAAATAGATAAATTAAAGCATGCTTTTACATTTTTAAATTCTGTTTACATCAATGATCCTTCTCATTTACAGCATTTATAAATTAAAAGAAAACATATATATATTTAATCAATGAGCGGTGGTTATTATTTTGTAAAATTATATTGCAATAACAATAAGTTGAAATTAAACTTATCTCAACATCAGCAAATATCCATTAGTTGAGAGATCTTCAAATTCACATCTCCATTAACTAAAATAAAAAAAAAAAAATCCAATTTAATTATAAACATGAATTTTGTTATTATTATTAAAAAAAACAACCTAAATAAAATTGGACGATTTTGAAGGTTGGTGATTTGATCCTCACTAGTCACCCCTACCATGGTTGAATTGAAAATGAAAAATCTACCTTATTTGATGTAATATGCAATGAATTGATCCATCCTATGCATCCAAATTAGCAACATGTAGAAGTTAAACTGTAAGTTTAATCCTCGAACATTAAGATTTGTGTATAACAAATTCTTATACTTTTTAACTTTGTGCCTAATAAGTATAGGGTGTTACAAATCTCAAATTCATTCAACATTTTTTTTAAATTAATAAATCTATTAGACATGAAAATAAAATTGTGTCTAATAGAACATAAACATTCAATTAATCTGTGTGTCTAATAGATTCGTAGATTTTAAAAAGTATTGAATAAATCAATAACTATTAGACACACAATTAAAAGTATGATAATGTAATAGCTTTAAAATTTATATACTTTTTAATACAAATTCTAAAATCGAGTAATTTATATAAATATTTCCGACTCATCAACAACGAAATATTCATTTAAAAAAATACTAATAAAATAGTTTGTTCCTCCAACTTTTCTCCCTCGTCCAGTATTCCATATCTCTCTTTTTAAATTTATGTTGGTATAAAAAAAGACGATAGAAAATTTCCAACTTCAATTTTTAATTTGAAAAGGTAAGTAACCAATTAAACTAGTCTCATGTTAACATTTTCATTTAAATTCTATTTTTATAGCTTCAATGTTTATTGTTTTTTTTTTCACCATTCATCCCTACAATTGATTTTGTGAATTCAAATCCTCATCTCAAATATTGACACAAAATAGAAATTATTTCGTTTAGCTTCGTAGACAGGTAAAGTAAAACGACTACCAAACGACGCAATACAAGAAAAAAAAATACAGGATAATTTAAATTAATGACGTAAAAAAGAGAGTAAGAGATATCACGTAGCAATAATATTAATAATTAATAACGACACTTTACAGAACTGGCGACGCACTCTGCATGCATGAAGAAGACTCGGTCGAGATTTGTTACCTCACCAAAACGCACCATACGCTCTCTGACGGACAAAGATAAACGGCCATTCTCCGAGCAATTTTCCGATCACCATTTAATTTTCCAAATTACATTTGAAATGACATAATTTAAAATTTTAGCTACGAATAGTGGACAAATTGGTGTATTACCAAATCACGCACCTATTGCCACAGGTTTAGATATAGGTATTTTTAGAATACGCCTTACTGTTAATGACGAATGGTTAACGATGACTCTGATGGGTGGTTTTGCTAGAATAGGCAATAATGAGGTCACTATTTTAGTAAATGATGCGGAGAAGGCTAGTGACATTGATCCACAATAAGCTCAGCAAACTCTTGAAATAGCGGAAGCTAACTTGAGGAAAGCTCAGGGCAAGAGACAAATAATCGAGGCAAATCTAGCTCTCAGACGAGCTAGGACACGAGTAGAGGCTATCAATGCTGTACCTAGTTAATTCGTCTAAATAATCAAGTGAAATGAAATTTTCATGGCAAAAAAAATTCAAATTTTAAAATTAAATAAATATAGATAAATATAGGGTGGGATGGAAAAGATAGAAAACCAATTGAACGAAGTTGAGTAGAAAAACTTATTAGATACCACAGATTTCACTCTCCCACATGAAATAGTAATAAACAGTACATAGTTGGATAGACATATATTAGATTTCAGAATTCAGATCGGACGTTAATATATATTTGAAAATTGCATTTAATGGTGGCCGCCGCCGCCGCCTCCAATTCCGGCACCGCCGCCAAATCCTCCACCCCCACCAAAGCCTCCACCGCCACCTCCACCGGCTCCAAATCCTCCTCCGGCACCTCCTCCTCCTCCAATTCCACCGCCAAATCCACCGCCTCCACCTGCACCACCACCGCCACCGAAGCCTCCCCCGGCTCCTCCTCCGTACCCGCCGCCAGCCCCTCCGCCAAGTCCACCGCCAGCTCCTCCACCTAGACCGCCTCCGCTACCGCCTCCGAGTCCGCCACCGCCTCCAAGTCCGACACCTCCGCCAAGACCTCCGCCGCCACCAAGACCACCTCCTCCTCCAAGACCTCCACCGCCGCCAAATCTCCCGTGCTTAAAACCCCTCTTGTAAATATCATGCCCTAAGCCTCCCCCGCCGCCTAAACCACCTCCTCCTCCAAGTCCTCCACCACCACCCAATCCGCCGCCGCCACCAATTCCTCCTCCAAGACCACCTCCTCCTAATCTTCCATGCTTAAAACCCCTTTTATAGATTCCATGCCCTAAGCCTCCTCCACCGCCCAAACCACCGCCTCCGCCGAGCCCTCCGCCGCCACCCAAACCACCTCCTCCTCCGAGCCCTCCGCCGCCACCCAAACCACCACCTCCGCCGCCGCCAAACCCTCCACCAGCACCACCTCCAAGACCCCCGCCACCGCCAATGCCGCCGCCGATACCCCCTCCGCGAAACCCTTTACCCTTAAACAAACCAAGTGGGCGATGAAACAAATGCTTGTCGTCTTCCACTACATTGTCAGCTCCGGCCAAGCCGGCGGCGGCGGCAGTGGCAATAAGCAGCACACAGAATGGAAAAGCCACCGCACGCAGAGAAAAATGCGCCATTGGTAGCTATCTGAGATCTCTTTGATCAGGATCACGCAGCGCAACGAAAGCAGATCAGAGGGGAATGTGATTTATATTGAGAACAAAATATTTTTTTAAAAATAAAAAAACATGAGAGGTAAATTAAATTAAAGGAGGTCCACAATCTGAGTGGATCATCATCCAAAGCTTTTGGGCGCGAGTTAATGCGACTCAACTACCACTGGCAAAAGCAATTTATTCTCTCAACCGTCCCGGGGCCAATCGCCCTTAAGGAATAAAAACACTAGCCAATCAAAACCAAAAAAATTTCAATGTGGCTGTCTCCAAATTTCTATGCACGTTCCAAATAATAATAAGGTAGGAAAATTTTCAAAGTAATAAAATAACATGGGGCGACCAACAATAGAAAAGGCAAAATTTATATATGTGTGTATTTTTTTTTAGTTCGGTAAATGTAATCCGACTATTTCAAATCATAATAAAATAATTGGAATGAGAATACTATATTTTAACCATACATTTTTTCAGAATTGAAATTAAAAATAATAATTTCTTTGACGTTGTTTATTAAATCAGAACTGAAATAAGATGTATAAAAATTACTAGTATACCATTTTTTTTATTTCTTGCTAATTGCAAATACATTATTGTATTCTAATTTTTGTTAATTGAAATAATAATAAATTTTATTTTATATGTAAATAATTTTATATAACAATTTATTTAATATTAATTAATAATTAAAATGAAACTGCATCAACTAAGATGCTTTTTAGTAAACAACTATCATTTAATATAAAATATTATTATATTTTAAAAAGTTTATTGATATTAATTAATAATAACATAACAAAATTAAAAAACTAATAATAATATCACACCAACCAATAAAATTGATATAATTTTTTATTAGAAAAAATTATTAGTAGTATAAATGAAAATGAAATAAATAAAAATATAAAATAATTAATTAAAAGAATTATGGGTCTCGTTAATAAGAAAGGTTAGAAGTTACGATAAATATGTAGAACCGTAATAGGAATGAGATTGATAAGGACGTGGAGGAATGAGATTGAAATGAAATTATCAAATTTGACTAGGTCCCTCCTTTAATTTCATTCCTACATTTTGATAATTTAAATGAATGATAATTCATATCCTTCCGGCAAGCATGGGCTTAATTTGTTAGTTTATTAATAAAATATTAAGCCACAAAAAAAAAATGAAGCCATTATAGTTGTTTCCCAATGTGTTTTACCATCAATTAGGGTTTTGACTTTTGGGTCTGTTAAGCAATTATTAATTAATTAATTTCACGTATCGAGAGAGAAAGCGGGAGAAAAAAAGGTAGCCTTTCGAGCTTCAGGTAGCTGGGTTTTTGAATTGGGCAAAAGTGGTTAAAGAAAAAGCTGCAATTGAAAAAAAGCACTTCTAGTGGCTAATAAGGCTTATAATGTGATATCATTTAATAGGGAGGCTGTTGGGTTTGCTATTAATGGCGCAACCAAACACTGTCCTCCCACCATCTTACAACTTTGCAGTTAAAACTACTACTCATCCTTCCCTTTACATTCCCCACGCCTTCTCTCCCTCCTCCACACCATTTTTCCAAAATTTATGGTATTTTTTTTTATTAAGTTTAAATACTATTTTAGTTTATGAAATTTATCAATGTTTATATGAAATTTAAATCTCGACATTTTCTTTGACAATTTTGTAGGTAAGTTCACATATAAGTGGAGGGAAAAAAAATTAAATAGTAGCATTTAGTAATTAGTACGAGAGATATTTCACAAAGGAAAAGAAAAGTAATCAATAAGAGAGAATAAACCATTGGAATTCACATAAGAAATGAACCATTAGAAATGAGAGAATATATAATTTTAGATTTCTCCGGCATTCCCTTACATCGCACCTGTTTCTTAATAAATCAACTAGGGGTTACCCAACCCAATATTGCTTACAATTGAACCACTAGATTGTTCAAGTCAGTTCTTACGATTAAGCCGCCAAAAATAATGTGCACATTATTAGTATAGATCATAGTAATTATCAATTCTTTTAAACATTTCTTAACCATATTTTCCATGATCTTAGTATCCTTCACATTCGTACGTGGTATCAGTTCATCTAAGTACTCCTCTATACTCGGACGTCACATGCTCATTAGCTTCCGCTTAGTTCGTCCTCAAACCACATTGTACCGAGAGAGGTCATTCTTATACCATTTGTAATACTATAGATCTAGAATTTGGACTAGGATTCAGAATCCGAATTCTGAGGCGTTACAATATGTATCTTTTTATTTATATAATAATAGTTATACTTTACACACTGGCACACATTAGATTGGAAATTTTCATATTACGAGAGAATTTTCCCATTAGAGCTACAATCGATAGATGAGGTGGGTATTAGAATAGCAAAATTGTCCAAATTTTAGCAAATTAAAAAGATAATTTTAGGAAAACATAAAATCACTTGAAATTGATCGAAAATCAATGGTTCTTAAATCTCTTTTTCCAAAATCATTCATTCTACCATCACTCTTAAACACACCCTAAGAATAAAATAATATATTTGAACTAAAAGATATGGACATCCCCTCTATTATTAGACCGGATATTCAATTAAACAAAGCTGGATTCTCTTTTAGTTGTATGTATATACTAAGAACCAAAACAAGCATAGCTCATAATTGATATATATGTTTAACCAAAAAGTTGTAAGTTCTATTCCCACCCCTACATATTGTACTCACTGTATCATGATTATTTAAGAAATAAGAAGCATACAACATACATAGTTGCTAAATGCTTAGGTGTCTTAATAAAACTAAAAACAAAAAAATTAATGGAAATGTTAGCACGGGCTCTTATATCTATAATTTATTTTTTGGTTCTCATTTAATTTTTACTATTTTTGTCCTCTCTAAAATTTAAAAAAATAAGTAAAAGTTTTTATGAAAATTAATACGCATTCCAAATTTTCTTATAAGTTAAAAATAATAAAATAATGTTTTTATATAAAAATAATGAAAACACGAACAACAAAAAAATTTTAGAAAATGAGAAATGAGGAAATTAACAATTATGAAACAGTTCTTAGAAATTAAATTCAAAATTTTATACCCAATTAAAAACTAAGCTCAAACGGCAACTAAATATGTTTTTGAAACTCTAAATACCAAAGAACAATTAAATTTATATATCAATGACAAAGATTATGGTTTTAAAAAACTAAAAACCAGTTGTACAACAAAAAAAAATGAAGAAAAGAAAAGAAAAAAACTAGAAACCAAGTTGAAGTATATTTATTGTTAATATTAATATAAGGAAAGATGCAGGCACGTGGCATACATTTCGGATACCGAGTCATAGGGCATTCTTCCCGTCTTCGCCGAATATCCAACGGTTCTGAGTTTACCCGTACCTCTTGCTCTGTATCCGAACCGATTTCCCAACCCACACGGATCCCACCACCTTGATCATTTCACGTCGGCAAATTTCCTCCATTTGCCAAATCACTTTTCTAATTTTTTATTTTATTTTTTAATCTGTGCCAAATCAATTGGTAGCACATCCAATCAAAAATTTTATTTTCTTTAATTTCTCTTATTTTTGCTTAGTTACAAAATGCATTGACGAACATGAACAATGTTTGAGGTGAAAATAAGCATCTTATTAAATTGACCACATTCTCTTGTTAATCAAAATATTTAGTCTAAATCTCAAGTGGATGTGTAGTGTCAAATTTCTCCCTTTAACAAATGATAATAATATTTTGATTTTGGTCCATTTGTAGTTGGTCTGTTTTCTTGAAAATTAAAATTGAGGTGATTTTTTTTAACACGTTTTCTTATATGGACTCGTGGTGGTATCAAATTTTTATAATGCATTATGTTAAATGGTTGAATTTTTTTTTTTATTAAATATGTAGATGTGAGAATTCGAATCAAACGACTTTTTGAAAATTATGTTTAGGTTGTATTCAACTAATCCATTTACAATATTATAAAATGCATGAGACTAAAATATACTCTTAGAGATATTCTAGAGATATTCTATCATTCTATTGTCAATGTATCTATTTATAAATGAAATATATATTTTTTAATTTTAGTTAGAGTACTGTTACGATATCTCAATTAAAAATAAATATGAGTGAGGATATGATTTTGAGAAAGATTGCTCATTGTTGTTCATTTTATGAAGTCAATTTAATAAAACAGTGATGGTTTATATAGATCCTCGTTCTTTTTAAATGCAATAATGGCAAACTTTTCTGTTCTTTTTTATAGTGTATCAAAATGATTTATCTACACAATTTTCATTTGCAGTTGATTCATTTAGAATGTCACGTCATCAATTATATTAAGTTCAAATTATGTTTAATTGTAGTAACTTGATAAGTTACTAGGTGATATGAATCTTCAATATCAGAGAAATGATGTGTGTTTTGGTTACTAAGTTAGGATCAGATTGCCAACCTGAACTTAACTCAATTGGTCACTTATTTGACCAAAAATCGTTGTAAAATGTTTTGACTTTTAAATTGACTAACTTTAAGATAATTTGGTTGTCAAGTTGCTTACGTAATGATTGATTTGGTAAATTTTATTAACTTAAATAATATATATGTTTCTAACGGCAATCATTAAACTTCATCTACTTCTTTATTATCTGTTAAAGCGAGATAGCTGAACGGTAATTAACATGTACCTCCAATCAAATTGTTGTGATTTCGATCCACGTAATCTACTCCCTTGTTCTCTTTATTTACTCTTTCTCTGACAAATTTTGACGGTCGGCCACACCTCGTTGCAACTCACTCGTCGTCATTGCTCGCTTGCCGACCGCTTTTTGCTGCCCCTCGCCCTCTGCTACCATTCATCCTTCCAAATCTAAGACTTCCTTTTAGAGGAAAGTCTCTCGTAGAAGAGAAAGTTTGCTTCTCAGGTTCCCTCCCATTGAAGATGAAGTTTTTAGATATCAAACGGTGGGCATGGAGGTGAACCAACAAGCAAGCGGCGACGAGGAGGTGGTTGGCGAGCGATGAAAATGAGGAGGCGTCAAAGAAGGGAAGAAAAGAAGGAGAAAGACGAAGGAAAGAGGAAGAAGGAAGAAGATGAAGTACACTCACCTTTAAAATATTATTAAATTAATAAAACATTTTTCAACGACTTAATTTTATTTTTAAAATTCAACTTCAAATGCATTTTAAAAAAGTTTTAAAACATACCTCTAAGTTGTTTGCAAATAAACATAATTTTTAAAAATTTAAAAATAAAATTATTACAAACGAGCCTTAAGGATTTCCAAGGAGGACAGTAGGAAATGGAAATATCTAAAATTTTGGGATTAATTAAAACCACTTATCAAATATCCCATTGTAATGTCTCTTTTATTTGGTGGACTTGGCGACCCTCTTTTCTTCTGATTCACGACCTGGTCAACTCCTACTTCATCATCAAAATCCACGTGTACAATCCAACAGCCCTGATTCTCCCAACACAAGAACACTAACTTTCCGTGCCGGTTTACAGGCCAAAAGGGCAAAAAGATAACTACGTGTATGAACGGAGCAGTTCAAGTTCGGGTCGGAGGCTCAGGAACGGAGTGAGGTTCGGAACCTGAACTCAGCTTTTGAAGTCCTCGAAGGCTCAAACAACTAGCGTAATGTTTGTTCAACTTCGAGCAGTTCGAACCTGGTAAAATCTCTGATCACTAGCCCTAAAGCTCGTTAATCGACGCTGAATTACAAATTCCTCGAATTTAGGTGAGAATTTCAACTGTTTTGAGTGATTGAATCATGTAAGGCTTCGTTTCAGACAGTGAAAAAGTTTCGCGCTTGTTGAATTGAATCTTTTCCTACGTGGTAGTGAAATTGAGGACGAAAGATTTGATCAAGAAAGATCCTACTTCCAGGATTTCGAAGACTGGTAATGCGGGCGTTGATCCGTCTCTTTGGTGTTTTACGAGGCTGATTCGTGTCAGTGCAGAGCCAAATTCAACAGGCTGCAGAGTATCTTGTCTTAATTGTGCAGATTAGGTTATAATTACGGTGTATTTTAGGATTTCTGTCGGTTTCTTAAGCAGTACGTTTGGTTTCGAGCAAGAAGATGGCGCAGAGTAACTGGGAAGCAGATAAGATGTAGATATTTCTCTTGAAATTTCCTTTCATTCATCATTGGATGCTTCGGTTACAATCTCTTGTTAGAATTTCCTTTAATCACACTTGTCATAAATTGTTGTTGATTTTCCAGGCTCGATGTGTACATTTATGATTACTTGGTGAAGAAAAAATTACATGCCACGGCTAAGTCCTTCATGAACGAAGGAAAGGTTGCCCCGGATCCAGTAGGTAATACTTCAAATGATCTGTCAATTCTTATTCAATAAATTTCTTGTAGAATAGGAATCTGTCTGGTTCCACTCAGATTTTATTTCATCTTTTTAGAATGCTTATATTTCATCATACGTTCTAGTGCTTTAAGCGTGATCAAGAAGATTACTAGATAGACTTGAGTTGAGTGTAAATGAGAGTCTTCATATTGGACTTAGATTACCGGATTATGTTATTCACAGTCTGCGTAGCGATTGTGTAGAAAATGATGCATTGACGATATTAGTCCTTGCATATGATGATGTGCAGCAATTGATGCTCCTGGAGGATTTTTGTTCGAATGGTGGTCTGTATTCTGGGACATATTTATAGCAAGGACGAACGAGAAACATTCTGAAGCCGCTGCAGCATATATAGAGGTGATTTTTTTTTTTCAACTTATTATTGTTTAGAACTATAATTGGAAGAAATAGTCTAGTGAACTGAACAGATGATAAGTTGAATTGGTCTCCATCCTTTGTTGCCCATGTCATTTTGTGCAGGCACAACAAATTAAAACGAAGGAACAACAGCTGCAGATGCAACAACTGCAACTTATGCGTCAAGCACAGTTACAAAGGAGGGATGCTAGTCACCCTTCGCTTGGTGGTTCACTGAATGCCGTTAATTCTGAAGGAATGCTCGGGCAACCAACAGCTAGTGCACTGGCAGCAAGAATGTACGAGGAACGCATGAAAAACCCTAATGCAATAGATTCAGAGACGTCCCAACCACTTCTTGATGCAAGGGTGGCCCTTATCAAACCAAATGCAAATCATCCAGGGTAAGTTTCTTTTTATTCTATTTTTTATGTTCGTTTTCTTTAACGTAATAAGAAGATAATGCATCCTTCTTGGTTCCACTAATCACACAGACAGCTAGGAAACTCTGGAAGCGTGAATGCAGCATTGCAGCAGATCCAGGCACGAGGTCAGCAGCCCACGGTAATTGGTTTTCTTAGCATCTTTTACTCCTATTTGATTCTTTCTTTGCATATAGCTGCAGGGTTTATCTAAAATCTCATATTTGTAGGATATCAAATCAGAGGTCAATATTGGTGGTACTCAAAGGTCCTTGCCTATGGATCCATCTTCAGTTTATGGGCCAGGGTTAATGCAATCAAAACCTGGTGGATTAGGAAACGCAGGTTTGTATCCTTCCTAAATAAAATGCTACAGTTTTTTCCGCCATCATGGCTTCTATAAATTCAACTATTTAAGACACCAACATTCTTTATGTCGGCATTGACACTTAACTAGTTATTGAATCTTGACTTAAATTATCTCAACTCTCAAGTGAACTCCTAGAAAAATATATCTCAACTCTCAAGAAATCATTCATGGTGAAGACCTGTAGGAAGAATATTTGAAGATCTAGAAACTTCTCAAAAAATTCGGTACAATCAGAGTAATCTGATGTTTGTAGCAGTTCTATTCCCTCTAATTTGATTTAATATAGAATATTTATGATAACATATGTTTTTCCTTGCGATATTTCTGATAACATATGTTTTTCCTTGCGATTGTAATTTTTCATTATTTAATAAATTGGGGAAGTGTGTCACAATTTGCTCTGACCTGTTGCTTTTGTTTTTAATTACATTAAAAGAGTATGATTTTACATTGTTTTATTTGATTTTTTTTTTTTGCTCTGTTTGGTTAATTAGTGTTTAATAGCTCCTGCTGAAACTACCTGCCTGTTTTAATGCATTAAGAGTTGGCTTAAAATTAGATACTCAGCGTGAACAGTGTCGTTCCATTTACTTCACTTAGTTAATGGAGACTATTTACTTGGAATGCTTTCAACCGTTTTGTTTTTGAGGTCCATTCTCCATATCTTGAAAAACTTGTGTTCATTTTCCAGGCTTGAACCCTGGAGTCAACGGTCTCCCATTGAAGGGGTGGCCTTTAGCTGTAAGTTAATTTTCTCCCCCTTCTTTAGATTAAGGGCATCCGAGTATGCTTTGAAGTTCTCATTTATGGTCTTTTCCTGAGTAGGGTCTTGAGCAAATAAGGCCAGGTTTAGGCGCACAGGTTCAGAAACCTTTCCTTCAGAATGCAAGTCAATTTCAGCTCTTACCGCAGCAGCAGCAGCAGCAACTTTTGGCCCAGGTCCAAGCACAAGGAAATCTTAGTAGTTCGCCTATGTACAATGACATGGATCCTCAAAGATTTAGAGGATTACCAAGGAATAACTTAACTGCAAAAGATGGTCAACCAATTACGAATGATGGATCAATTGGCTCACCCATGCAGTCGACTTCATCGAAGGTAAGTTTTCCTTCTGGAAGTGCACAGGTCATCTCAGATCTGAATATTTTCTTTCTTGGGTTATGCTGAGGTACCTTTTATAGCAAAGATAGTTAAACTGTTAAAAGGCGCACTTTGCAGATGAATATTCCACAAATGCAACAGTCTTCTTCCCAACAGCAGGATGGCTTACATCCTCAGCAAGTACAACAGGTTTTGCTTATTCTTATGTCACTACAACTTATTTCCTTTTGCTTACACTCCACAAGTTCAAGGAACTGAATCCGAATCTTACAGTTACTAACATAACTGAGTACTGTTAACAGCATTCTTTAAAAGATTTCACCAACCAGAAACTTTCTTTCTATGTATTGGCAAGCTAATAATCGTTTGTTGAATGTGGGTCACAGAACCGAAAAAGGAAAGGGCCTTCATCTTCTGGAGCTGCTAACAGTACTGGAACAGGGAATACCATTGGACCTAACTCTCAACCATCAACTCCATCAACTCACACCCCTGGCGATGGAGCTGTTATCGCCCCTAATCTGCAGAATGTTAATAGCATCTCAAAGAGTAGTTTAATGATATATGGCACGGATGGAACAGGCGGTCTTGCATCATCCACAAACCAGCTGGTAAAGGAACTTGAATAATATAATATCTGCATAAACAAAGAGATGATGGTATAACCAGTGCTGTGGTTTAAAAGTTTGCTTATACTATAACTTGTGCATCAGTCTTGTATAGAATACTTCTCAAACAAGAAAATCTTGGTTAAATCCATGATGACCAGTGAAGTTACTGTATACACATACATATATATTTTCAGATTGATACTTGGATCATAATTTGTTTAGCTCTCTTTCTTTCCAGTTGTCTGGATTCCAGAAATTAGATTCCAATGAATAACACCAACTTTCATATTAAAAATGCATGTGTGATAGCTATGGTTAAGTTTTTTCTGGTGCAATGGTCAAGTATTCTTGTATGTTCCTTGTTTCATTTTTGCCTACAACTTCCTAACCTGACATAAAATATCCTTTATTTTGTCAATAGCTACTGTTAATATGCTTGATTAGTCCGTTTACTATAATATTTTATTATTTCCCATTTCAGGAAGACATGGAACATCTTGGAGATATTGGTTCCTTAGATGATAATGTGGAATCCTTTCTCTCACATGATGATGGGGATGGAAGGGATTTGTTTGGCACGTTGAAGCGGAACCCTTCTGAGCATGCTGCAGAAAATTCAAAGGGTAATCCATGATTGCTTCATTCAAACAGTGGTCATGGACGTCATGGTTCTGATAGACTATACCATTGGTTTTGTGTCCCCACCCCATTTTTAGGTTCTTCTTTTAATGAAGTTGGTTCCATGCGTAAAAGCAACAGCAAAGTTGTGTGCTGTCATTTCTCTTCGGATGGAAAGTTATTGGCAAGTGCCGGTCATGACAAAAGGGTATCAATCATTGTATTTCTTTCGTGTTCTTTACTGCAGATGCTGTTCTGGATTCCTTAAAAGAAATGTGAACTCCTTCACAATTACCTCTTTATAAGAGTTGATGTGAACTCCAAGTTTTCATTTTTTATTAGCTTAATGCGATCATCTCTTTCACTTTATTTTTCCTGACCGTGTGCCTTTCTGGCATTGATTTATGTGAAGTTTATGCATCATCTTACAGAGACAGCAATAGTGATGCTTAAAATCTTTCATAGTAGTGCTGTGCAATTCTCTGTCAATTCCTTTTAAGGCATGCAGAAGGTAGTTTCCTTGTACTTCAATTCAAATAGAAAGTCCTTGAAAAAAGAAAGACTAGCAAAAATAAATTCAGATTGACTTTCAAAGGGTCAATTACTTGTAAAAGTAAGATTTAGATACTCTAGATTCATTGGCGTTTTTAGCCACGTACACAATTTGGGATCGCGTACTAGTAAACCTGGGAAAATTATTCTGTCATCAGCACATGCAATAGGTTCATATATGTGTGCTAGAACAAATAAATATTTGTTATATCAAACCAAATAAATGTTCGTTATGTCTGCTTGTTGATATTTATTTTCATTATTATTATTTTATTAGGTTGTTATCTGGAACATGGAGACATTGCAAACTGAAAGCACACCAGAGGAACACACTCTTATCATTACGGATGTTCGTTTCAGACCCAATTCAACTCAGCTAGCAACATCTTCCTTTGATACAACTGTTCGACTTTGGGATGCGGCACAAGTAAGTTTATTCTGTTAACTTCACTACCTCAAAATGTAACATTTGTCATCAGTTATTTGGTTCTGTTATTTGAATTGATCCATCATTGAGTCCCTTTCCCTTGCTCATTATAAATGATTGTGTTGGTCTAAAGATTGAAAATCACAGCCATATATATGATCTATTCTTGCAGCCAACTTATTGCTTACACGCATATGCTGGACATACCTCGCATGTGGCATCTCTAGATTTCCACCCTAAGAAGAGTGAACTTTTTTGCTCTTGCGATGCGAACAATGAGATTCGCTACTGGCACGTCAGTCAGGGCTCTACTACCCATGTCTCAAAGGCTAGTCCTATGACTCCTTTCATTTATTTCGTTGTTTCAAATTCCCAGTCTACTGGGGCTATTTTGTTTGTTAATTTTCTAGTCTAAATCCAAGTACGTTTTGTGAACCAGGGTGGCTCAACTCAGGTAAGATTTCAGCCAAGAATAGGGCAACTTCTGGCTGCAGCATCAGAGAACATTGTTTCGATCTTTGATTTCGAGTCAGACAGGCTAACACTCTCATTAAAGGTAAAAAGTCAAGCAAATTTCCAGAAAAATTATTGATGTGGTGTAGTGTTCTTTTTTCTGTGGTTGTAATTCTAAGTTATGTTCTGCATATTTGTCTATCTATTAGCATATAAAATTTTTAATATAATAGGAAATAATCTTTTTGATTTTTAATTGATGCAACTATGCAAGTATAATACTGGTTAGTAAATGCATTCATGTGTCAACTTTCTGTTTCGAAATTATGATTGGTTATTATGATCAGAAATATTTAAAGAGTTCATTTTGTAAAAATTATCACTAAATAATGAATTGAAAATATCTCAAATTCAAAAGATATTATGGTAGATTTTTAGTGGGATAGGAGGCATATTCATCAATAAAATGAAAATTATAAGTAGAGAGAAAATGTCCTTTCCTAAAAAAAATTATAAAAGGGATTGCCAACTAGTACAGAGAGTAGTCAAAGTATAATTATAAAAAGGTCTAAGTTTTCACGAAGAGGCTGCCACAAAAAAATATAAAATCCCTTAAAGCAAAGGGAGAAGTTTCTTCCAAAAAATCAGTGGTTCTTTCGTTCAAAAAAGGCCACAAGGAAAGGAAAAAAAAACCATTCCAAGAGGTTTAGCTTTGTTTTTACAAGGGTGACCACCAAGGAAGAAGTGGATAAGGTTTCAGATATCTCTATAAATCAGGGAAATCAATCCAAAAGAGTTCGTTAGATGGAGTTGCAACTGGTAACTAATCCATAGTACAATGGATGAAAGGATGGTTTGTGATTTTCTCTTTTTCGTACATTAAGAAGTAGCTTGAATTGAGAGCAATGTTGGGGGTTATCATTTGAATTTTATCATGTGTATTAGTGCTTCCCAGGAGGCGTTCAAATGTAGATTTTTACTTTCTTGGGATGTCTATATTCCCAAACCTATTTGCATAAATTTGGATCTAGTAAGGTTACTTATATGCTAATATCTTGGGAGGGATTTGACTTTGAAATTCCTAGAACTATCTCAAGTCCAGTCCCATCTACTGTCTTGGTGGTTGGAAGAAAAATCAACGAGAGAATCCACAAGATAAATCCAATGTCAAGTCTCTTAATCACTGTTTAATGATGTCCCAAGAAGCATTTGAAGGGGTACCTAACTTGAATAATTAATACATTTTTGCTATTAGATATATAACATAAAGTCTTAGGAAGAAGGTAGTTGAGAAAGAGATCTATTTCCCTTCCATCTTTGCTCCCAAAGTTTAGCCTAAGGACCTACTTCAAGACATTTTTAAGCTTAAGAATGTCTCTCCACGACCTTCTAGATTTCACGGTAGTATTAGGTAGAGACCACCAATCGCCTTTCAAGGACAACAAACTTAGCTGCCGTCACCGTTCTCGAAGGAAATCTTCTTTGTTAGCAAATCGTTGAAGTCACTTAGTAAGGAGGCTTTATTCTTATTACTAAGTTCCCAAGACCCGATCTCCTTGAGATGATGGTTAGTCTTACCTAGCTAGAAGCAACCAATGTGGAATCCTACTTTAGGTTTCATGCTACTCCATGAAAGGTTCCTCATATATTTCTCCATGGAGGAAGCAATCTCGCTGGGACTCCTAAAGTGGATAAGTAGGTAGGCAAGTTTGAAATAGAGCAGTGTAACTGCAATGTGATGGCCAAATTGAATAATTTTTCCAAGTAACCTTCAAACGATCTCAAATCGGGTTCTGAAGAAATCTACCATGATAGTCAGCCATAAAAAATAAAAGGGATAAAGAGGGAGGATTACATTTCCTAGTACCTGTTTGGCGCTTGGATTTTGTGCTTCTTTGGTCCATCTTTTTGATAAGTGAGTGAATCAGGTGACGACTGACTCTAATTATGGCTAATTGGACACTGTGACCATAGTTCCGTAGAAATGAACCATTATAATGTTTAAATTATTCAAATTGTCATAACAGTTATATTACAAAAAAACCAAGTTCCCCAAAGAAATTAGAGCTACTCATCAATTTATGAATCTTAATACAAATACGAAAAAGTTAGAAAAATGTTAATTTTCCTAATTTATTGATTTTAGTAATAGATAAGTTCTCACTTAATTACAAGCACATTCAGGTGGCTGATGGGAGAACAATTTTCATCACTTTTCAGGGTCACTCAACAGATGTACATTCTGTTTGTTGGGATACAAATGGAGATTATTTAGCATCTGTTAGTCAGGAATCTGTCCGAGTATGGTCGATCGCCTCGGGAGAATTGATTCACGAGCTCAGTTCCAGCGGAAATATGTTCCATTCTTGCGTTTTTCACCCAAGCTATTCCTCACTTTTGGTTATCGGGGGCTACCAGGTTATACTTTCCCTTAAAATTATGCATTATTTCCTCGTTACCTTAGCTTTAGCTCTACTGTGTTCTTCATTTCCAATTATACCACCACAGCGTTAAGAGCCTATCTCCCTGGGAGATTAATGTTCTTCTTATTTTCAAGCCTGTGATTTTTGTAGGAAGAACCATTTCAGTTCCGATGAAAACAAGAGAAGAACTTTTAAAAAATAATTACCAAATACGTTTTTCACAAGTTTTTATTCTGAAAAGCAGTTTTCTAGTTCAAAAAGTAGCTCCCACACAACAGATTGATGGCGTGAGTTCTGTATTAATACTAGGATAATGTTTTATCTTTTTTGGTAAACGATGTTGAAGTTGATTTCGGGAGTCCTTCGACATTGGTGCTGTATTTGTTTAAAGATACATGTTTGTAACCCGATTCAATCTAAAAAATTGCAGTCGTTGGAGCTGTGGAACATGGCTGAGAACAAGTGTATGACAATGCCTGCTCACGAGGGCATGATTTCATCGTTGGCTCAATCACCAGTGACAGGAATGGTCGCCTCTGCGAGCCACGACAAATCTGTCAAGATATGGAAATAAGAACACACAACTTCTCTGGCGTTATTAGGTGAGTCAAATTCTGATTACACAAGTCTAGTGGCCTTTTTCCATTTTCCTCAAATCTGCAGCTAAAAGGCTGAAAATGGAATTTTAATAGAAAAAGTACAAAAGTCGAAAAAAAAATGGAAAAAGAAGAAGAAGAAGATGAAGATGAAGAGTTCTTTGTGTTATTTAAAATTTACCTTCCATTTTTCTTCATTATTTAGAGTCTTGGTGGGTAATAAGCTGTGTGATGGTTGTGGTCAAAGTTCCCGTGTGGCTCATGTTGGCTTATAGGTTATTAGAAACACTGAACATTCTCTTAACTACGCCGTTTTAATACAGAGCTTAATTTGAACTGTTAAAAACTATTTACCACCTCATTATTATTAATTTAAAGTTAATAATTTTGTTATTAGATTCCTTAAACCCTATTTTGTTGTTGTTATTACTCATTAAAAAAATTATTACTACCATGCTTTGATTCTATTTTCTTTCTTAAATTGGTCTATTTTGGGTCTAAATACTATATTGATCTTTAAATTTATTTTATTTTACTCCCTAAACTTGTAATTGTTTTTGTTTTATTGTCTGAATATTTACATACAATTTCCTTTATCCTTGTAATTAAATTTTCATAAATTATTTAGTCAAAACTTAACGTGGAACGTCTTTGTTCATTCATGTAGTAGTAGGTCAGTCGTCGGTTATATCAATTACCGTCGAGTTATGTTTGCTTTTGGTATTAAAATTATTCTTTATTTAAAATGTATTGGTAATCAAGATATTTCAAAATTTAAGGAGGCCGTTTGAAAGTTTATGAAAAGAAAATAATAGAAATAAGTATAATAGTTTGAGAATTGACGTAATATTTAATATAAACCTCAATTTTAGTTGGATTATCAAGTCAGTTTTCTCGGCAATAATTTGGTGGCAAATAAGTAAACAATTTTTTTTTCAGATCATTATTGCTAATATATTTAATCATACCATTAATAATCAATATTGATGTTGAATTTATTAAAGAAATTAATTAACGATGTAGACGAATATACGTGACAGCAATACGGAACAATAAAAAATTCCTTCACTCAATCTTCGCGCACATGGAGGGGACGATACGGTTGCATGTGCGGTTCCTGTTCTGTGCCACGTGGACCAATCAAATTCTGACACACGACTCCATCATTGTAGTCAGGCAAATCATTGAGGAGGAAGAAAGAAGGTGTAAATGTTTTTTCTCCTCTTAATTTCTTTTTATTTCTCAAAATTTGCTGACTGCTACCAAAGCAAGACAGATCCGAGAACGTTAATGCGCGTGGGGCCCTCTATTTTTCTCTCTCTCTCTCTCTCTCTGTTTTTTTAAATATTAAAAAGGAAAGAAATAAAAATAGAAGAAAAGTACAAATTGAATAAATTAGCTGCAAACTGGCGGATAATGTGGAGGTTGCATGGTCGCATACTCTGAATCTACTTGTCTTCTGTCTTTGTTCTCTTCCCACTTTCCATTTATTCTTTCGTCAAAATATTTATAATTCGAAATTTCGACAATCTTGTTTAAAATATATGAAAATTATATTTTAAATAATTAATAATTAGTAGTGATATTTATGAAATCGTCTGGGCGGTTGAAGAAGCAAAGTTTACCTAATCGCGGAAGAGAAGGGAATTGTGGCGAAGAATTACATCAAGAGATACAAGAACAAAGTAGCTCATGCTCTTGCAAGTTGCAATGGAGTGGAAATATACGTTTTGTTTTGTTTTGTTTTTTGTTTTTTAATGATTTTAGAAATTTATATATGATTTCTTTAGCATGTTTTTCACTCTCTTTGAACATATATAACCAAATTTCATAAAAAAAAACAAGTTTTTTAAAAGTTACTGTTTCTTTTTTAGTTTTCAAAATTTGACTTAAATTTTGAAAATAATTTTTGTTATGGATGAGAAAATCCCTTGATGGCCCTAGGATTTATAGAAGTAAATACTCATAATGGAGCCTCTGTGGCAAGTCTACTCTTTGCTATGTTCACAATACCCTCCGATTCTGACTTAAGCATCGGAGCCTATATAGCAAAAGTTACATCRGTCTTTAGTGTTATTTTGTTTTGCAGATCTCGTCGATCTCATAGAAAATTGGTACGAGTTTGGCGAGATTTCAAGATGCCAAATTTCTGCATCAACAATTTTAGAAATGATAACAACACAAAGAAACACATGGATAAAAATAATGTTTTTAAGCTTACATTTCAAAAAAAAAACTAAATAGTTATCAACGAGATTATATCCAATTTTGTCAATAATACCTTTGCTGGGTAAGTTATTTGATTTCCTAATAAATTTGGAATTAGATAATTTTAATTAAAATTAGAGAAATTAAATCCAATTCTTAACTTGACAAGTCAAATTTAATCTCGAAAGTTAACTTTTAAATTTATAAATAATTTTTTTTATGGTTTCCGAATGGCCAATGGCGAAGAGTAACAAGAATTTTCTGAACCCACTTCCTCATTCATTCATGATTCATTTTCAATTATAAAAAACAGTTTTTTTTTTCAATTAATTTTTGGAATAAAAAAGGGCATATCCTCGTCCACAATCCACATCCACTTCCTTTTTATTTCTCTATCTCTCTCTCTCTGTATTTTTATTTATTTATTTTTATTATTATTTTTTATAATTTTCTCTCTGTGTTTTATCACAACAGAACAGGCAGTGGAAGCAGTGGTTTTCTATGATAAAAGTCTGTCGTGGTGCACAAACAGAGACCGTGGAGGGTGGGGGTTAATATTTCTCACACTTTTTTGGAATTTTAGGAACAAATTTAATTAATTTTTTCCAAATTATATATATATATATATAATATACCTTTTAAAATAAAAATTTAAATAAAATGTCGCTGTTTAATTCTTTAACTAATTTTGGAGTATTTGATTCTTTACCTTGACCAAAATTGAAGGGGGAGATATTTATTTACTGTTTTCTTAGAAAATATACGTAGGAAATATGTCTGGTAAACTCTTCTTTTTTTTTTTGGTTATTTTTCTTATAAAGAAATAGAAATGCATTTAGAAATCCTTTTCAACGTTCTATTAAGTTTCATAATAAAATAAAATTTGTACACTTTTACTAAAGATTTTTTTAATACGGTATTTAAAATGATAATTTCAAAATATTATTCATCTTACATGTTGAAAAAGCTAAGCTTAATCGTAAAATTAGAAAGGAAAAACAAGAGACTAAAACTTCCTGCTTTTAAACAAGGTATACAATTCTAGTGACGCTTAGAAATAAATAAGAAAAAAAACAAAAAATCATTATCAAACGCACACATGTTTAAATCTTGTAAATATGTACTAAAAAAATCTCGAAAATATGAAAATAATAATAATAAATGAAGTGTGTAAATGAAGATTTGAATTTACAACATTTTGATCAATATATAAAACCAGTTGAAGTATGATATATAAGAATAGTAACATTACTGCTCCATGAAAGTCTAGAATTCATCTAGCTTCATTGTTCTCCCATCTCTAAAAGCAAAAACTAAAATTTAAATTTTATTTCAGTTCAATGAGAGGTAATATGAATTAAANAAGGTCTGAGTTTTCAACGGCATTTCATAGCTTTCTGCCTCTGCCCTTAATAAGGACCACCGCCCTCCTCCAAACCGGAAAAGTCCCTATTTTCTTCTCCCTTTTACTTTAATTAATTAATTAATATACTTTAAAATAGACTTTTTTAAAGAGTGGGAAAGGGGGTGTCTTTTTGGTAAAAGACACGGGTGTCCCATCATGTGTTTGGCAAAGCGTAACCCTTTGTCTTCAATTCGAATAAATTAAAAACCTCCAAACTTCAACATATAACTTCATTTTTATTTTATTTCTTTTTCTTTTCTAAATGCTAGGGAGAAATTTATATTTTAAAAAATGTTTAAAAGTTCTCTCTTTATTTTGTGGCCCAGTTCAATTTTCAAAATTGAAAACTATATCACTCCCTATGGAACTTTTCGGATTCCGCCCTTGTTAATGCTATTTTGAATCTTATAGTAATTATTTTTAAGAATATAACAGATTTGGGGTCAGGATTTGAATATTCGAACTTCTAAAAAAATTATTGTTTTTGATGAATTATGCTCAAATTTATACGGTAAATCATTAATTGTTTATGCACATTTTGAGATTATATGTGTAAACATTACCATTAATGAATGTTTGAGGCATCRTATCATTATAATTGAGCTTTAGTTCATTTGCCTAGGAGAAAGTGTTGTGAAAGAATCAAGTTAACATCATATGATGTTTTATCGAGGTTAGAGTGTCAAATCAAGGGCGGATGATAAAAGGGTTTTAGATTATTGTAATTAACGATGAGCCGAGACATAACTTTTGGTGTTTGTGATGCACAATTTAGTTGATAGATTCAAATGAGGGTCTAATTTACAAATTGATCATGATCTCTAAAGCATGACTCTAAAAATGAGTTATTCAATGATCTTGTTTTTCAGTATTAACAATGGGTGGGATGGAGAATCAAACTTCTACGGAAGTTATTTTAAGTTTTAACCAATTCAACTATTGATGATCTTTCCTTAAGCATGCCAAATATATGGTCAGAATTTCAAATGTGAAAGGGTGGATTTGATCTTATAAGATAGTTTGAAGCATATTTATACGTTGAATAGCCCTCTTTAGAAAAAGGTTCAACTAGAGACGATAATATATCTATAACTTACCCTTTTTTAGTGTTAAATCAAAGTTTTCAAATATTATACCATTATCTATCTAAAATATTGCTTAGAGTTGGGTATTAAGTTTCCGTCCACATGATGACATTTCCATTCTAGGGTACCGTAAAAAAAAAGGCTTAGAGTTGGGTATTTAGTTTTCAAAATACTATTGTTTGTTATATAAATGGTATGAATTTTATTTTATTTTGGTAATTGAAATTTACACTTTTTTGTATTAATTAAAAATTTTTATGTAAATTTTAGGTCTAAATACTATTTTGGTTATTCTATTTTTATTTTAGTTTCTATGCTTTCAACTCTTTTTCAAATGTCTGTTTTGGTTTAGGACCATGTGGATCCTATTTATAAAATTTGAACATGAATTTTATACACCATAAAAATTATTTAATACAAATTTATGACTATATTAAAAAAAAAGTGAGTTAAGTGTCCTATTATTTGGATTGAAATAAATGAGATGAAAATGAAAATGAAAGATCAAAATTGTCATTTTTAAAAAGTATAAACTAAAATGAACATTTCGAAATTACAGTGACTAAAATAAATAAATTGAAAGTATAGAGACTAAAATGGATGTTCCGAAAGTACAGATGACAAAATGAACAAAAGTCAAAAATACAAAGACTAAAATAGTATTTAAACCTAAATTTTAGATTAATTCTATTTTAATTTACTGTATATTTAACCAATATTCTTGCTTCCACTTCAAATTCAAATAAATAAGTGACGTCTTAACAACTTAGCTATAACTTATTCATACATAAGTTTTAGGTAATATTTTATTAGACGAGTTTGAAGTTATATATATGAAAGATCACTACTACCAAATTAAAGTTTAATTTTTTTTTAATAAAGTTCAAAACTAAAACACAACAAATTTTCTTATAGTTTCGAAATGATTTTTTACCTTCGCTATTTTCCTCTCGAGTTGGAGAAAGTTGTGCATTAATCTTGGTAATATTTCGAACCTCTTCTCTTTATTAAAATATTTCAATTCAAAACAAATTACATGACTCTTAATTTTAATAAAACATGACTATTTAAAAAAAAAACTTTTATTTCTCAGCAAGCACTTTAAAATCATGTCAATTAATACATTTTATCTTGGTTATTAGGATGAAATAAATTGGAATTCTTGTAACACATAGCATATATTTGAGTCAACGTTTTAACCATGTGTCTTGCCTTTTTTATCTTTCGCACAAAACTTCAATTCATGCAATCGAGCATCTAATATGCAACGATTGTAGATATAAGAATTGAAATAGAACGAATATATTGTATACAAAACTAGAGTAAAACTTTATATATATAAACTTAGTAACTTTAGTACATCAATTTTAATATTAAAACATTTCATCCAATTAAATCATAAAATTTATTACATCATGAGAGAGAGAAGAGTGGTTTTTATTAAGAGGGCAGTTTAACTAAATGAGCTAACTAACTAAACTGATTAATAATAAGAAATATACCAACTCAAATGTCAAACTAACTTCACTTGAGTACACCTAATAAGTACTTAAAAAAAACACTCCCCTCAASATGGAAGGCGTAAGTTACAAACGCTCGTCTTGCACAAAAAAGAGTTCAAAACTTTTGTAAAGATGTCAGTAAGCTGTGAAGAAGATCAAATAGGAAGAAGTTTAAAAAACTCACGGTACTATGATCACGAACAAAATGAAAATTGACCTCGATATCTTTAGTATACTTGTGAAAAGTATGATTCGAAGCTATAAACATTGTAGCTTGATTATCGCAATAAACCAACGCAAGAAGGGGGGAGTCAATATATAAATCAATAAGAAGATGAGCAATCCAAATCAATTCACTCAAGACAATAGTAAGAGCACAGTACTCGACTTCCATAGAAGATCGAGAAATGATAGCCTGCTTCTAAGACTTTCAAGAAACCAAGGGAATCATAAAAAAAAAACACAAAATCCAGAAACAGAATGATAAGTGTCTAGACAAGCACCCCAATCAAGAACAAATGCTTTGAGTTGAAAATGTGAAGAAGCATGAGTACCTTATTGTGAGTTATGCGGAGTAGCCAAATAACCCATATAGGGGTATTGAAGAAACTAGCTAAGACCATGAACAGAAAAAGAGATATCAGGATGTGAAATCTGATGATACAACAAACGTTGACTAATTATTGGTAAGAAGATACCAGTTGGTGAATTGATAACCTCTTATCATCTGGTTAGTTGAGTTGAATATTTTTTAGATCGATTTGAACCCAAACTTTATTTTGACTTTTGGATTTTCTAGTTAGATTCAAGTTATTTCGTAGTCTGTCTGTTTGAACATTTTCAACTACAGTGCTCAGTGCTCCCTGCTGCTTCGGAGGGCTTTACCCGTCCCCGGCGTGGACGCGGGCTTCTATAAGAGAATGAGAAGCTCTCAACACAAGAAAACGCGAACCGCGCGGAGCCCACCCGAGTTCGTTTTCTG